CGAATTTAACCAAAATCAGATGAATACTGGTACCCACAGCATTTTCACAAGTATACATAGTTATGTTTATTAAAGCAAATAACTAAACAAAATTTACATAACTCTATTTTAAGACTGATAAATATTCATAAACCAATTGAAAGGTCAATTAAGAAAACGTCGGATATTTTAATTAAACGTAGAGTGTGATTCTGTGAATAATTTGAATAGTTTACAAAAGATATCCGGTTTCTCATTTTCCTCTGGACGGATATAACTTTTATCATAACAATTCTCTTATTGGTTGATCGTGACCTCAGATGTCCGATCTAAAAGGTGGAATACATCTAAATGAATTAAAAACCTTTCAATTCAATCATTATATTTATTCTATTTTCCCTTTTATATCTTATATATACAACATATTTAATCATGTATGCATTTAACATTCTCCCATTAATTGCAATAATCAAATTACAAACACTTTGAGTACATCTTTAAAACGTTTTTGAAAGAGTTTCCTTATCAACTTTTAAAGGTTTGATTATTTTCCAAGTTATTAGAAACAATATACTATAAATATAAAAAATGATAAGATGCTGGAACGGATAAAAGAGAGAAGGGTGACGGGGGAGGGGAAAGCGAAGAAAAGAGGAAATATGAAAAAGTAAAAGAGAAAAAGAGACATAAATCGATTGATAAGTCGATGGGCGAGAAATAGAGTTATCGTCTCCCAAGGAAGGAGGAAAATTTTTTTGCGTTCCAACGCTTCCATTAATAGGCGTCTGGAGGGGCCGGACGGGTTAAATGTCAAACAGAGCGCTGTAGGACGACTACCAGTAAACTGTATAGAAAAAGCTATTCCTTTCATCCACTCCCCCACCCTTCCCCCCCTCAAACTTTTACTAGCTCATTTCTTCTTTATAGCTTTTTTCAGCAACCTCTCCCCTATACTTAGCGTGTATTTGCCTATCACTTCTCAAGTCTAAACCTGACTATTTTAATTTTTCTCTGGATTAGAAATCGTAAAGTGTCCCCGTTCTTTAATGAGACCTAACTATCCAGGTGATACTTTAAAAGGAAATTGATTAGACGATGAAAAGGAATGAAAAGAGAATAAGACTATCTAGCTAGGCATAAAGGCAATTATGAGAGAAGAGCATATGTTGAGATCTGGTGCATATCTTATATAAGTATAGGATGTCGTATTGTATTTCTTTTCAAGGCCATCAGCCTATAGGCGACTTTTGATTTATTTATATAAGAGTAAATTGCCTTACGTTTCTTATTAAAGAAACATTCCTAACAATTCCAACTATCTTTCTTCAAAAAATACCGAAAGAAAGAGAAGAAAAGTGGTCCGATTAAATCGGGATCAACCTCTAATTTTAACCCTTCTTCGTTCAAAGTGCGAGTAAGACTGTTATCCTAGCACTTTTCCGACTTTATTTCAGTATTGAATTTCTGTCTGGGTTGAAAGGTTTCTCTCCTCTTTCTATGCAATGTTTTCTTTTAATGTAGCTCTTTATTACAAACATTTTAGTACTATAGAATATATGCCATCTTAATAGTATTATTCTTTTGTTCCTTATCTTGATTGTTTTTATTATATCCCGTTGTCTCTCTCTCCCTGGTTTTCTTAATCTTACATTTGCGATATTAGAACAACAAATTCTATTTTGTGTCTTTGTTTTGTTGGTAGGCCTTCACAGGTGGACAGATATATTAGAATATATGTATGATATGATATGTTTGTATACATAGAGTATATACTCCTATAACATCTCATCTATGCTGAATATTATACCTAGACTTATAACATATAAATGCTTGATTATCACTTGTATATTTACACGAATAATTATATATCAAGTAACAAATATACATGCCAATTGATTCTTAGAAATTAGATTGTAAACGAATGAAAAATCAAGAAAACTTTTACTAATTAACCGTGTCTATTAAGTAGGACTTGTATAATAATAAATCTAACTGATAAGAAAAAAGCTGAACGAATAGATAAAGAGAGAAACAGACATTAAATGAGATATATGAGAATTCAGAAATCAATAAAAATCTTGAATTTTAACCATTTTAATATCAAACATTGTTGATATTAATGATTTAAGAGAAATGTTTGTCTATATAAATATACAGTATATAATGTATACTGTATGTCTAAGTAAGCCTATAAATTTTTTTTACTATATACAGTAATTATAGGACTATATATATTTGCATTAATCCTTTCATTATTTGGATTGACCGTGATATACAAACTTAATATTTGATTAAAAGAAGGTTAGCTATAGAATTTTTAACAAAAAATTACAAGTGCATTATTGAACTAATGTCTTTAAATGGAAAAAGGAAGTTAGAAAAAGAATTAGGGATAATCTATTATAGGCCTATAATTATATAATCTTTAAATAAAAGAATAATTTAGAATATTTATTGAAAAGAAGATTTATTCAACAGAAATAATGATAATAGATATAAAATAATTGGTATAGTATCTAAACGTCTTATATTAAAAGTAAGTAACACACAAAACCATACTGAACTAGAATAGTAAAAAATATTATAATATATTGAGAGTAAAGTTATTATTTTTAAAGCCTATTCTTTTCCTTTTTATTTTATTAATTGCATAACTTATTATAAAATGTACTAACTAAACTCAAATTGAAAAAACAAAAACCGAATCACTGTTGTATTAATATAAAAATAGATTGTTATAGACGTATATGTAGTATGAAGAGGCTGAGGACGTTAGTATTTGTTAGTTAAATATAAGAAAGAAAGAGACAGAGAGAACTATTTATAAATAAAACTGGTATATAATTCCAAAATTTTTTCTATAAAGACAACAATACAATTTAAAAAATATATATACGTAGTCATTTTGTTAAGTTATAACAATAAATGAATAGTAGCTGTTCAATAGTTTTGCACTGGTGATGAACTACTGAAATGATAGCGAAGAACATTTTAGGGCATCTGTTCAACTCCTCCCTAAATGAATCATTCGGAAATTTCTATATATTTATAAATATAACAAAACATTACACAGACTTTTATTTAAAACCAATTTTTATAATTTATTTTTAGACCTGAATTTCTTTAGCCATAAAAATTTAATATTCAACTTGTTTTATTATATGCCATTTAAATCTAATTTATAATTTACCAATGATATTTTACTTTTTATTAAATGTTTGACAAGATATTATTTCAAATATTCCGCCTTTAAAAGAAAAAAGCGTCCATAGATTAGACGTCTTTTCTTTTTTTGTCTGCTTTTGCAGTGTCCATGAACACTTATTAATTTGCATTGATTCCTAGCACTTAGAAACCCCTGTGATATTGTGATTCTGAATAAAATGAATCTTTTTTACTTTAAAGTATAATTCTCATAGTCACGTGATATTACCTAGAACTGGCAACAAAGACGTTTCCACTTCCAGATTAGTATGGTTACTGTCTCAATAGAGGGTGAGATAAAATAAAAACTCACGCACGGAGCGCGTAACCAGCCTGCAAACATATTCAGTTCGCTCTACGTTAAACATCTGGGTTTAGCATCATCCGGGGGTTTCAACGAATTTGCCAAATTAAAGGGAGTATTTGAAGGAAATAAGTAAGTAATTTCATTAAATAAATGCATGAACAATAGATAAAATATATTATAAAGATGCTTTAATAAAAATATTGAGTATGGTATAGTTATTACAGTTAATATTATTTTTTTTTTATAAAAAAAGAACACACGTGCTGTTACCGGTTTCAGACATTTCTTTGTGTCAGATATACGTTTCTTACAGCTGTATCAACGATAAAGTAAAAATCCAAAAATATGCCTTTGCTCGATTTTATACTCGATAAGGAGGTAAATAGAAAGAAGATACCCTTAAAAACGTTCTAAAAATTAGAATCTATGCCAATTAAATATTCATCTAACAAAGCTATTTTAACAAACAAATAATGATATTTTATTCTAAGCTTTTTATCATTTCTATATCTGTTTTTTGTTTGCTATCTCTCTTTATTTTAAAAAATTAAAATGGATTCTTTATAAACAAAGGATCCATTATATTTATATTCTTCTCATTATAAAAATGCGAATAATTCTGCAAATACTGAATATTTCGTCGAGAAAATCCAAGCTTTTTGTCTGTTATTATAGAATTAATAGTCTTAAGTTCTGTGACCTTGAATTGAACATCTGTTCTAGTTTAAAAAAAAAAACTAAAAATCACTGTAGATATAACAGAATCTGAATAATATTTCCTTATTCTTATTCTTTATTATTTATATTTAGGATATTTGAATTCGGAAACGTAGAAATTTAATATGTTTTTATATATAAAATCAGGCTTTAGACCTCGTTTCCTACAAAATAATATATAATGGGTATAGGCTTAAAGATCGGCTGAGTTGAAATTACCTTACATACGTAGGGCTATTTTTAGATATTTGCTCAGAATATATTATGCAGATAGTTTTTTTAGCCTATATGAGCTAATCATTTGTAATCGATATGCTTTTGTGTTTTTTTTTTCTTAAAACCATTTTTTTTTAAAGCATATGTTCATTTTATTTTATGTTTTGTTTTTCTCTTTTGTAAATATTAAGCTAAAAAATCAAAATAACTATTTTGTAATTATTTTTTTTTTAAAAAAAAAAAGAAAAAGAATTTAAAAATTTTATATTTTAGTCTAACTGTATAAATTTAATTAAATTAGGAATAATTATAACAGATCGCTTTCCATCCTTGTCCTCCTCTTCCTCCTCACTCTATCCCTCTCTTTCTGTACAGTTTTTTATGTATTCTATATTACAACAATACAGGGGAGTGGTTAGATCTAATCTATTTTTTTTGCAATGTTTTATATATACTTGTGTGTTATAACACATGATATAACTTGTGCTTAATAAGTTAAAACTGAAAGCTTTTTAATTTTCTCTTTTTATTCAAATGAATATTCATAAAAAAATATTGAAGTGTTTTATAATTTTCTATTCTTTTATTTCAGGTTATGGAATTAAGAAGTAGGAAACAAAAGGGAAAAGACACGACCAACGGTAACAAGAATGCTGGTTATTCTGGTTCATCGGGTGAAGCTGGCTTATCTACTGGAGCCAGCTTACCGTTCAAGATATTTCATGAATATTTAGGACCTCTTTTCTTCTGTTCTGTTTGCCCCTGGACAACGCAATTTATATGGTTAGTTGCGGGTTATATTATAGACTACCTAGAAATCCTTGACCCAATGAGTGCATTTTATTTATCCACTTTTCACCGACCAAATTTACTTATTAAGGCTAATCCGGCCTGGTTAGTCTAGTCTAGTTCGACTCATTAGCTATGTAACAAAAGATTATGAACAATAGCATTTCATTCAAGTGTGATAATGTATTGTTCAATGGGAAAGTTCTTAAGTACATTTGTATCATCAACAAGTACAAGGTTCACTGAGTTGAGAAACTACCAAAACTGTGTTGTTCTTTCAAAATTATGATAGAACGTAATCAGCAAAAAGAGGGGAAAGTAAGTAAAATCGTAGTAAACTAGTTATTCATTACAAAATTAAGTCAAAGTAATTACTCTATTAGCGACTAAATCGTAAAGTCTATACTTGAATAATTATTGCTAAACTTCCTTCTTTAGATTAAAACTAGTAAAGTAGAGAATATCATATAGATTATAAATATTTTACTTCTTAGTTACAAAGGCAGTTGTCTATTACGCAATTTATAAAAACTAATCGATTTCGATAAGTCCCTGAATGCATTGAACAAATAAAAAATAGAAAAGCATCCAAGCATTAGTCTAATTTAATGTCATGCACAGCTGCTACTTGACACGATAAACGGGTTAATTGTTCAAAAGGCTGCTTTAACCTTCTCCCCTCGTGCCTCTCTATAATACTACTCATTCTTTTATTCTCATACTGTTATTTAGTAAAGGGAAACCTGACCGATACTATCATGATCTAACTAAATTATTCAAATGCACGACTAATTGTTTTACAATTTTCCCTGCCTTTTCTTTTTGTTTATAGGTTTATATTAGAATTTGGATCTTTATTAAACCGATATGATTAGTTTCGTATTATTTCTTATAACCCGATTGAAAATGAACGAACTTGACTAAACTATATATTAAAGAGGATTTTGAATGAAAGACTGTAGACTTTTATTATCTTATTAAATATTTATAACTACATTGTTAAAATTTTAACATATAGGTTTAAAAAGTGTCAATCGTTCTTTTCCAGACCTTATTATTTTCATAAAAAATGGACATGTCAAATGTCAATCTATATTACTTAATAATTTAATTAAACTCATCTTAATTATCTAGTAACTGCTTTTAGATTAACTACTCTATTAGTAAAATATTTATTGCTCTACTTTTTTGAGCTTAACTTTAGGTGGAAGGAATATTCAAAAAAGATTGCGCAGAGTCACGTGATTGGGATAGGAATAATAAAATAATTTATAAAATATTTCGATGCGTAGCTTATAAAATTCTCGAGATTCCGTCTGTAGATATGTTTAGTTAGTTTACGTATATTAGAAGGAGAAAGATAGGGAATAAGGCAATTTCTTTATCCTATCCTCCTCTCTTACTCTCCTTCTCTTCTTATTATCATCTGAAATGTTTGAAAGTAAGATAAGTTGCTTTTTCTTGTATAAACAGTAGTAAAAAAAATTAAGGATATAAAAAGATAAATGATAAAGAATTATCTTGATTGGTGCAATTACGTTTAGAATAAGATGCTTAATATCTTTTTCTGATTCCTCTTCACTTTCCTATCCTCTTTTTTTCTATATCAATAGGGAAAAGTATCTTTTGGGGGAGGAGGGGCGAATGAATGTTATTTTTTTTCCTCGACCTAGAAATTAGACATTTGTTCCAAGTTAAAACTTTCGCGAAAAAGGAAAGCAAAGCACTTCAAACCCTAACTATCTTTCATTCTTTACTTTGTAAACCTCCTTTATCTATTAATAATTAAGAAAAGAAATAATTAAATAATTTAAATGTTTTATTAGGTACACTGCTGCTAAAGCTGATGGAAGTTTTCTTGAGGCTTTTAGACAACTGACAAGAGTTGAAGGATTTGGGGATGCTATTCGTACCTTCTTTCCATTTCCAAGTCTATTAAGTGTAGCTGTTGTCTTTGGATACTTGTTTTTCGCTTTGATACTACATATTATCGTACCTGGAAAAAGATTTGAAGGGCCCGTTAGCCCCAAAGGACACGTGCCGGTCTATAAGGACAATGGTTTGAGGTGTTACTTCATCACCTTGCTTAGTCTTTTGGCTTTGACGCTTGTCCTAAAGAAATTTGATATGACCCCATCGATTGTTTATGATAGATGGGGAGAAGTTTTGTGTGTTTTGAACTTCTTTGCGTATTCATTCTGCGCGCTTTTATTCTTTAAAGGCATATTAGCGCCGTCGTCCATTGAACACGGTCGAACAAGTTCTTTTATGCTTGATTTTTTTTGGGGAACTGAGTTATATCCTAGAATCAAAGGTGTTGATGTAAAAGTGTTCACCAACTGCAGATTCGGCATGAACGTCTGGGCCCTCGCGGTTATGCTGTGTACAATTAAATCATACGAAGTACAAGGCCAATTTGTTCTCTCTTCGACTGTATCGGCAATTATCCATTTGGCATACTTGACAAAGTTCTTTTGGTGGGAAGCTGGATACATGAGGACCATTGATATTATGCTTGATAGAGCCGGCTTCTATATTTGCTGGGGTTGTCTTGTTTGGGTACCCGGATTTTATACTATTCCTAGTTTATATTTGGCAAAGAACGCTCCCCAAATGGAACTAGCTAAAGGCCTATTAATACTCGCTGTTGGTTTAGCCGCAATTGCCCTCAACTACGACGCCGATAGGCAGAAGCAACATGTTAGAAAGGAGAATGGCGATTGTCAAGTTTGGGGTTCCAAAGCTCAGGTAATTAGAGCGTCCTATAAACTTGAATCAGGAGAAACTAGAGAAAACTTGCTTTTGGTTAGTGGATGGTGGGGAATAGCGAGACATTTTCATTATGTTCCCGAGTTAATGTTGGCTTTGGCTTGGTCTTTGCCCGGAGGTAGTCGCCACATAATGCCCTATGTCTATTTCCTTTGGTTGATCCTGCTATTGACCCATCGTACCTTCAGAGATGATGCTAAATGTATGAAAAAATATGGAGACGCCTGGGCTAAATACAAGAAAGCCGTTCCATATAAGATGTTACCATACATCTTCTAGATTTAGGAGTTTTATAATCGGAGATTATTCCCTGGAGTATTGAATTATATGATATTCACGTCAGCTTTGTTTTTTGTTCCTCTCCGTAAAACTATAGAAAAATTATTTGTATTGATATAATTATGCTCGTACTTATTTGAAATATAAAAAAAAATTGTTTCAGTGTTGTCTAGACAAATCTTGCATTTTGTTTGTTTGTAACGTTTGTTTAAAACAAACCTTAGCACCTTTTTGCATGTCAACTGATTAAAGAATATGATCGAAAGTGAGCTTATAAATTTACTAGAGTAAAAATTGTATTTATACAGTTCTTACCTTGTCCTCTCTCTCTCTCTTTATTTTTTTTCTGTTTCCTTTTCTCTCTCTATCTCTCACTCTGATGTTTATCTATTCCTCTTACTCTACTCATTCACAATCTCAACGGTACTCATTCTTTGCTTTCAAATTCTCTTTCTTGCTTTATGATCTAGGTAATGCATACTGACAATTCCGTTCTTTGGCTCCATGTAAAAATTGAAGTTAGCAAGAGAATACTCGTCACGAATACCTGAATAAAAGTTTTAAACGAAAAAAGATATAAGAATAAAAAGGGAGTTGGGAATAAGGACGAATCAGTGGGAATATTAACCCTTTTAATTTCATTAGACTATATTTTATTAAACAGTTTGGTCAGAATTCGTTTTCGCAGTTTCACCAGGTTTCTATCTTTTCCATTCTTTTATATATCAAGTCACTAACTGATGAAAGCGTATGGCTTGTGTTAAAAGATGCAAAGTTGTAACTCGAGTATTATTATATACAACAAATTATCTTTTCGCTTCTCTCTCTATCCTATGCCTCGATTTGTTAAATTGAATATTAGTCACTTTTTATAGAGTGTAACTCTTAATCTTAACAATTTATTTTTCATATTATTCCTCTTATTTCTCCCTCTTCTAAGCTCTATATCCGGTATGTAACTTTTATAGATTATAGTTGTTTTCTTCTTGTATTCGATGAAGGAAGATCGGAAGAAGTAAGATTAGAAAAACTCTTGCATCTTTTTTCTTAAACGACTGTAGATAACCTTGTTATTTGCTTCAGTTTTGTATGCATGTGCGTGGCGAAAGTGTAAAGAGTATTTGTTGTACGACTCAAAAGATAATGTTTACATTTGTTTCTTTTTTTTTTCTATATATATTATATTTCATTCTTTAAAGAGATGCTCTTTTCTTGTCACTTAGGTATATTAAAATAAACTTATGTTTATTTTAATATATTGTGTATTGGATGGTTTTTTATGGTCTTATGGGGAAAGGAAAATGAGAAGGAGCGCTTACAGGGAAAAATATTTTTGATTAGCAAAGATAGGTTTAATATCTGCATATATAATATATGCAAATTAAGTGACGTCTTGGTAGCGTGCGATTGTTCCTTTTTCTCATATCAAATATAGAAAATTGCGCTACCTAATTACGCGCGTTTAATTACGTTGGATCACGTGATGCACTTAATGAAATCGCTATTTCCCTCGTTGGCTGAGAAAGTTTCGTTTCATTTGGCGAAGGGAAGTGTAGACAGGGTCGAAACGGTTAGATTAAAATAGGCGTCAATATTAATCATTTTTCGTATTCTTATTAAAAAGGATAGGAGATGTTATAGAATAGTGTTTCTCCTTTCTCCGTTTAAGCTTATAAACTGGGAGAAAAGTAAAACGATTTACGAATGTTAGTATAAAGAGAATGGAAAGTTTGGGAAATGGAACGAAAAAAGCTCGGTATCTGCGCTTAATCAAGAAATCTCTTGGGAGTAATGTCTCTACTCGCGACGCGCACTTTACATTATTGAAATACAGAAAAAGAAAAAAGCTACTAAGTATATCAGAAAGAAAGAAATAAATAAAGGGAGAGAGACCGAGTATGGGATTGAAACTATGGAGGAGAATTACCCCCGGCCGGAAAATAAGGAAAAGGGTAGGGAAGTTGTAATCGTTTCCTTTGTTCTATAAAAGAGATTGAAAGGGCCCCAAGAAAGAGACCGTAGGGGGTGATCGTCTCTCTTACAATATTGACTGTTATAGGGCTAACAAAATAAAAAAGACACCCGTTCCACCCTCTCCATAGGATCAATTGGCATCCCCTCCAATCCATTTACCGTTCAACGTATGCTTCGTGAGCAAATAGAAGGCTATAAGACAACGTCCATATTGCACTCGGTAAAAGAAGGTTCGCTTCGGGACAAGGATTATCTTTACGGATTATCAGTGTTGATAGGAAAAGTGGATTCGGGTGAATAGGTCAATTTTTCTAAAGGATTCCAAAAGATAAAAAAATATTGCTTTTTAAAAGAAGAAATTTCATTTTTTTTTTGCTTTTTTCCTTGTTTTTATTTGTTTTTAATAAAAAAGAAAACCAGTAAAAATGAAAAACAAGATATGCAAGCAGAAAAGACTGGGAATGTATAGGTATCTTTTTTAATACATTAGTAGATAGGCCTATATCGAACCGCCTTCAGCCAATTAACGATGCTTCTGAAGAAAGATTAACTTGGTATTATCGGTCGGCGGAGGCGATGCGTATAGTAAACTCTGCTAGTCCTGAGTCTCATCTCCCCTCTTCTCTTCTCTTTTCTTTTCAACAGTCAACAGACATCTGAAAGCAATAAATAGTGAAAAAAAACTGACTATTTCGTCTTTTATTCTTTTTACTAAAATGAATGATAAAACAAAAACAGTGGAAGAAAAAAAAAACGTAAAAAATAAACGGCGGAAACGGTCTAATTCATCTCAATTTTCGCTTTTAACCAGATAGACAAGCTGGAATAAGAGTTGTACTTGTTAAGATATTACGAGAGTCGTTTTCTGTGGCAAAATATCACGAAACAGTCCTCTATTAAATTCTCTAACCTATTTTCTTGCACCCTCTCTCTCTCTCTCTCTCTCTCTGATACTTCTTATTATGTATCGATCGACAAATTTGGGTAAGAATCATTAGCTTGTTCTCCATCTTTCTATTAACTCTTAACGTTAAATAACTGTGATAATTTTCCACCTCTATTGTTTCCGCCTTTCGGTGATTTTAATAGAGTATTTTGGCCATTAATATATTAATGAAAGAGTTTTTAAAATAGACAAAGTTTTCCCAATTCCTAGATCTCAAGTGTAATAGATAATCATTTGTTCTCATTCAATCAACCAGGCTTCTCCTATTCGTTCTACAATCCAACTTCATTAATATTCAACAAGCTAAAGCTAAAGCCATTGATCCCTGATAAATGTGCATGGGAATCATGAATTTAGAAGAGACAAGCTGTACTCTTCTTAATAGCTAATTAATAGCTAGTGTCGTTTCTCTTCTTCACTATTGCTTTCGTCTATATACGAGATGCATTTATTTCAGGTATTAGGATGGATTTTCATATTCTCAATCAATAGACAAATATAAAAGTAAAATTACTTAAACTTCCCTTAGGAAATATTGATAAACGTAGTCGTATAGAGAAGAGAGGGAGAGAGAGAGAAAGAGAGAGAGGGAGAGAATGTGAAAGGGGAAAAATGACAAAGTATCATACTACGTAAGAAAGTTTCTTCAATTTTACTTCAACATACGGATACGAAGAAAGGGAAGATAAGAGGATGGAGGGAATATGGAATACAAAATAAGGGGAGGGGAAGCGTTTGAGAGTGGGGAAGGGAAAAAGACGAATATAAAAAGATTGAGAGAGGGTAAAAAAAGAAGATGAAAATTGAGGAGATGGAATAAGAAAAAAGGAGGATTAGAACAAAGATAGTTTTTCTTTTAGAGATTTATTTTAACAATAAAATTGATATATCGTAATAATTTGTAAAAATTCTTTTTAAACGTATGTAATAATTGAAAAAAGAAAATTATAGAAACAAAGGAAGAGCAAGTGAATTTTAATCTCTTCAACAAGATAGATAGATAGATATATAGTTTATAAAACTGTACAAATATATATATATATATATATTAGACTCTAACTTAATAGGTCCGCCGTTACTTTTATCGTTTAATTTTTTGCTAAATTCTCACGTTTGACTTCAGAAGTGGGCGGACAAGTCTGGGAGGCGGGGGTGGGGGTGGTACCTTCCAGTCCTGTGAAAAAAAATTGAACTCATGTTATAGAATTTTCAATTTAACAATAAAGGAAACACTCTCTAAATATGTAATTTGTACTTTGTATTGTCTAATCTGTCTTGGTACATTACAGGATTTTATTACTTTCTTTTTAAAACACAAACTAATGAATGAATATATTGGATTACGTACTTAATCATTTGTAACGCGCTAGCTTAGACAGTAGTGACCGACAAAAAGTCACTAATCGTGATCGTCAACAAAAGGCGTAGTAGAGCGCAGTTTCTCTCTCTCTCTCTCTCTCTCTCGCTCAGTCCCGTCTCTTTCTTTCTATTTCTCTCTTTAGAGTTTGTGGTGGGACCGTTACTTTTCTTTTGGTAATTGTACGCAGATGCGACTACCCTTCTAACCCTTTTTCCCAAATTTGTTAGTCCTATTGCCCTACTCCGTTTACTTAATTGCGGTATTGCAGCCTGTGCATTGGGGCGTTACTAAGTGTACATGTAAACGCATTCGATTTTTTTTTGCGTTTGATTACTGCACCTGATCCTTGTTGTTAATTACGAAAATTCCCCGCCTCGCTTTCCTTCATCTTTTCTCTCCATCATTCTTTCCTTATTCCATTTTAATACTTTTACTTAATTGTAGATATTAAATATAGAATATAAAATCAGAGATAACAAAACAAGAAATATTCTATACAGAAGATAAGCTTGTAGAGAATGTATGTAAAGATGTATTAATATATGTGAAGCATCCATCTCTCCAACAATATAGAAAATTAATTCATAGCACTTTTAATTAGGCGGAGCATACTGCTATATATAAAAAAAGATCCCCTGTTTTTTCTTCTTCACTATAGCTTATTACTTTCGATAAAAACTACTTTCATATATATTGTATAGTGTATAAGTAGAATAGCTATTGAATTCCTCTAGATTTAAAATAAGGAAAGGCAAATAAATAATAAAAAGAAAAGAGAAAAACGCGGAAATAATAGGGGTACAAATGATATGTCGCGAATTCGTTGAGCTGTCGCATCAAGTTGGAACCCTACGGGGATACATTCCCTTTACGAGCTTCCGGTTCAAAGGAAAAAATGAAAGTATTCGATACCATTTATTACTTTGAGTTTTTAGATAATACTTTATATGGAATTATACGGGATATACAGTAGCTATATCTATATATATGTATGTATTATATATTAGTATATTCTCATAGCTATAATTTACGTACCTGGTCTGTACTGTTGGAAATGTGTTCACAGTTTTTTTCTAAAACATCTCTCTCCTCCTCATCATCTGTTTCCTCGTCTTTCTCTTCATTTTGAGCCCATACTTTCAATGATTGCAATCTACAATTATATCTATCGGCTTTCGATTTTTTTGCGGCTCGAAGACCAAGAGCCAAAACAACTAATAATAAAAGTAATAAAACTGCGGAAGCTGAGACGATGAGTACTATGAATAAACTTCCATCGAATAAAAACGTTTTACTCCCATGGTAAGGTAGAGAATCGTTCAGTTGGATATATAATATTTGAATATCTTTATTGTTTCCTTCATCTTGAACCCTAACTTGAAGCTGCAGTCTTTCATTTCCAAATAATTCCCCTAGATTTCCACTAACTAAAAGTGCACCGTCTGGTGTAAGACGGAAATAGTCACCGTCTATTAAGTCGTACTTGAGCTTTGGATTCAGGTCGGGATCTTTGGCTAGTAATCGACCAACCTCAACATCGGATGGCGTGAGGCTTGATATCATCAAAGAATTATTCTCAGTAGATGGAAACACAAATTTTGGACTGTTATCATTTCTATCTTTAACGTTTATTCTTATTACTGTCTCTGACCTTAGAGAACTTTTTCCCCTATCAACAGCTATCATACGAAATTGATAAGAAGAACGGCGTTCCCTATCCAATAGATATTTGGTTGATAACCTTCCATTCCTCTTATCAAACCGAAAAAGGTCCTCCGGATTGGTAAAATTAACCAGGTATCTGGCATTTGGTTTGCTATCCCTATCTCGAATCTCGATTGTTCCTATGAAGGAGCTGGAAGTCTGGAGAATGAAAAGTGGATAGAATTCCTTAAACAAAAAAGATATAGATAAAATTTATCTTACCGTATTCTCTAACACCGTGAAATTGTACAATTTCTTTGAGAATTCTGGTGCATTATCGTTCATGTCCATAACGTGTACCTTGACAATAGCCATTGCGAAATTAGATGGTTCACCCCTATCCCTGGCTTCGATATCCAATTCGATTTTTTCGCCTCTTTCCCTGTCTAATCTCTTAACGATCGTTAAAGTTCCGTTTGTAGAATTGATACGAAAATAGCTCCTAAATAAATCAGGCTTGGTTCTTATGATAGCGTATCGGACACGACCATTATCTCCTCTATCACTATCGGTAGCACTTAATTGACAAAGAAGCGTTCCTGGTCGATTGTTTTCTTCTACAGTTTTTGTTATTACATTTTCTACGAATGAGGGAGAATTATCATTCTTATCTTTGATCCTTACAATCAAAAGTTGTTTGGATTGTCTTGCAGGAGAGCCCGAATCAACGCATCTTATTTCAACATCGTACCTGAATAGGAGAGTGTTAAATCGTAAAACGTCATTTAAATAAATAAAATTTTTTACAATCCCTTCTCTACCAGCTTTATAACGTAATAAACTTGGTGTTATACAATGTCGGTGTAGATTAGAGAAAATTGAAGGGATTAGGTACTGCGATAAACCTCCCAAATATCCCGGCTTATATCCTACACAGAAAAAAGTCGGCAAAGAGACAGACTGGGAATAAGGGAGATGGAAAAACAAAGAATGTGAAGAAAGAGAAAGGAAAGACAGAAAGATAAGGAATGAAACGTTGATTATAATTTTTTTGTTTTTTGCCTCTCATCAACTCTTTTCAAAAACTTCTTTTTCTCTTTTTGTTCTAATGGAGCTATGCTAAGAGTATCTTATCGTCTTTATAAACTAACCTTATCTTACTTAACTTTCTAACTAAACTACTCAAGTCTATAAGGTTTCCTAGTAGGGCTAATATTTTTTTCAACATTTATCTTCTTTTCTATTCTTAATCTCCACTCTTTCTCCCGTTCTCACTCTCGTGCTTTTCGCTCTCACTCCTCCCCCTTTTTTTCTCTCTCTGTCCGTTTACACTCTATCTTCTTATGTAGTAATAACAAAATATGGGCATACAATGAGTGCTATGCATTGCATATTTCATACGTTTCTAGTCTATCTATGCATAGTAAAAGTGATATTTAGTTATGGATTTGATATTTAAAAATGAGTTATTCAACTCGGCTGAGTTGGTTAATGTCTAATTAATATTCGTACCAAATATTGGACTTTTATTGATCAATTTACGTTCTTCATTTATTTAACTAATAGTTCTTACATCTGACGCTCTCATTTTTTTAGATTAGTCCATTATTTACAGCTAGAACTATGCCCTCTTTTTAATAAGTCTATTTATCTTATTTAATAAATCTTGTATTAATATTTGTTTATTTCCCCTTTTTTCCTTTTGTTTTCTGGAATGAAAGAAAAAATTTCTTTACCTTGATCTCTGTTCTCTATCCAGATATTTATTGGTTACTAATTGATAACGATTTCCATTTATATGACGTAAATCAAACCATGCTTCATAGCCATTGGGATTTAAGGAACATTTTATTTTCTGTTTAGAATTATAATCTGGATCAGAGACTGTAACATAGGCGACAAAAGTTTTTGGACCGGAATCCTCTTCAACTTCCGCCTCCGGTCTGCCATTCATAGTTTGTACGTTAATTGAAGGATTGTGGTCATTAAGGTCGATAACTTTAATAATAACTAGACAAGTCGTAGACCTGTAAAAAACAAGATGAAGAAATAAAAAATTGCGCACAATTCTAATGAAAAATTCATTAAAGATATCATTTTTACAGCATTTTTATATATATACTTAAAAACTTCTAAGAGACTGAGAAAGAGAGAGAGAGAGAGAGAAAGAGAGAGAGAGGAAAAGAGGATTTAATTCTTTTACCTAAACTCCTACATACTAAAAATTTCTTTTATAAAAAACGAATAAAAACTAAATGTTGACTTTTGAAAAGATATTTTGAAAACTTAATGGCTTTTTCTTTCTTTCTTTATATAAATATTTAACGAATGATTATCAAATCCTTTGAGGAATAATTTCAATTAAAAGAAATACTTAAAAAGTAATCGATAAACTCTTTAAAATGCAGTAATATATATATATTAATATATATATATATATATATATATATATATATATATATATATATATATATATATATATGTATACAGTATATATAATATTCTCTCTTCCCTTAAACCGTCATTCAGCTTTATGATAGGCTTCTTAAGCTTAACTTTGCGTGTTGCAAACTTTTACGTATGAGTATGTTAGCTTTCAGGTTTCCTCATGTTCTTTTGTAATAAACTTCTTCCTCTCGGTTTAATCTCTTAATACTTAGTTTGTCTTCTATAAATAGTAAACTGATAACGTTTATCATCCATACTTCTTCTTCTTCTGTCTTTTTTCATTTCAATTTTTTGTAAAAGCTTTTTACCTAGCTAGCAAACAAAACGGATACTTTGTATGATAATACGATATTAATTGATCGTTGTTCTAAAAGGATGTAGCTAAACACAGGAGATTAACCTTTACATTTAATAGATGAAATTATATTAATTAACCAAAGTATTCGAGATCACTTGCCTGGAATCTGGTGCTGAATCACTAGCGATTATAGGAAGATGATAGATTTGAAGGTTTTCGTAATCCAGCGAATTCTTTAATGTTACCTCTCCCGTAGATTTATTCAAGGCGAAAGTCTCCTTGACCGCTTTAGACGCCAATTCTCCGAACTTGTAGACAACCATAGCATTACGACCAGAGTCCTGATCGGTTGCAGTGACATTGACGACACTCTTTCCTTTTCTAAAATTTTCCGCAAGGGAAATTTCCCTAGACGTTTTATCGCATATCGGTGAATTATCGTTATCGTCTTGAATCTCGATAATTATAAGGCAAGAACCGGCGTGTTTGGTATCTCTAGCTTCAAGCCGCATTTTATACCTGAAGAATAATTGGAAAAGATTTATTATTTACTATTTTAGCGTCACCCTTCCGGGCTAATTAACAATTAGTAAGTCTTTGTGGGGAAGGGAACGCATGTATCGCGTGGATTTTATGTTTATGTAAGGTTTCCTTCATTACCGGTATTACCATAAGTCGGACATCGTAACGGAAAATGTTTGTTTCTATGCCAACAAAACTCGAATAAAACATTATCTCCTTGTAATATACACATATCTATATACACTAGTATATAATATATATTCAACGGTTCAGCTAGCTTTTTCTGCCTTTGTGGTTTTCTATTGCGTGTCTGATTTTTTATATTATTCATATATTCAGTCAAAATTGATTAGATGGTAAGGTAATTTGGAAGAAAAAAGCGTCTAAATCTTTAATTCGGCGTTTATTATACGTAGGTAAGATACTGTTCATAAATAATGTTGAAAGAAATAGTAGGAGAAAAAAATAAATACTAAACCCTCATGCTATTAATTAGCTTAAAAAAAGAACAAATCGAGGTCAATAAAGCTAAAAACGGACTCCCTTATTAATTCTAATTTCATTTAGGGTTTTTTCTAATGACTTGTACGACTAAATAACGTTATATCCTATTTCTTTAGATAATTGTACAATTGGCCCGACAGAACGTTTCCCCGTACCGATCAATTACGACTTAAAATTTATCGATTTCTAAAAAAAATAGGCAAAAAGAGAGAGGGAGAAAGGGAATGGAGGGGGAGGGGTGCGAGAAAGAAGAGGAAGAATGAATGGAATATATATATATATATATATATAAAGTGAGAGAGAGAGAGAGAGAGAGAGATGGAAGAAGGAAAGAAAAAAGAGGAAGAAAAAGACGACTAATCCCTTTTTTGTCAATTTTTCTCTGAGCATTTATTTCACGATTTAAAGCTTTTTAACTAACTAGAGTTTTCTTTTTTTGGAAAGACAATCATTTAGTATTATCTTTCTCTTTCTTTTATAACAACTTCCTCTCATTTTGTTAAAATTCTTCCAACTTCTTTATTCAACTATACAGCAAATTTAAATATACTTTTCCAATATTTGTAATAAATTAACTATATTTGAACTTGTTAAAAAATTCACTTAAACGCCTATATTTATCTTGTTAATAGTGTTATTCGACGCCGATTCATTATAAAAGATATACAGTATATATAAGTATAGTTAGAATGTTACTAAAAGGGAAAATTGGAGATGCTTTTAATGATATGATAGTCCCATTTTAGCAGTTAAAATTAATAAATTTCTAATTGATGGGAATGCCTTTGATATCGTTTATTAACTATTAAAGCACGCTTCATATGGGAATTTTCTGTCTATCAGAAAGATTAAATTATCAAATTGCTTTCTTGTATATAGAAAAAAAAAAAAGAAAAAGAATATTTTAGACAACAAAATGAAATATTTTAGCATTTTCTTTACTCGTGTTAAACTATCTGTCTACCCATCTATCTATATCTATCTCTATCTTCCACTCTTCCATTTTTCTCTATTCCTTAAATTTTCTTTTTATTCTTTATTTTCTTTTCTTCTATGTATACCATGTTTTTTTCTTTATATCTTTTTTCTCTATTGTTTCTAGCTTATGTTAAAATTACTTATTATTTATTTACTTACTCCTAATCATTACACTCTTAAATAAGGATCGATAATGAACGAATGTCGGAACGTTTGATAGGCTTATCAGTAAAAACCAGTCCTATTCTTTCTGATCTTTTGTTATAGTTATTTTTTATAGTTTGTCATAAAATATATACATTTTGTAAGTGTTATATTCATTATAATAATGAAATTGATGTACTTGAATTTTTTAGTAATAAATATTAACAATTTATATAAATATACAATTATAATTAACAAATCTTTTATATGTTGAAATGCCTCTTCTCATCTTCTTTCTCTTCTCCATCTTCCTCTCTCTCTCTCTCTCTCTCTCTCTCTCACTCTCACTCTCACTCTCACTCTTTCCCACCATCTCTATCTTCATTATATAAATATAAAATTTAAATCTAATTTTCTGGGCCTAACATTATAAAGTAAAAGAAGATGGAAGGAAGAATGGTAGAAACTATTAACTTTTAAATAGAAACAATAGCTACGTAGATGAATAATTAATTAATAGAAATTAGAGAATTTTTTTCTTTTGTTATTTGAGCGTTAGGAGTAACTTAAAAATAGAGACAATGACAAAATGAAAAGAAGTAGAGAATCTTTGCTTTTGAATTGAGACAACAGAGAGAGAATAGAATGGATATAGAAAAAGGGAAGAGAAAGAGCGGGAGAAAGACTATATAAAAGATTATTATAACATATTTTCCATTGATAATTATGCGTTTGTAATAATTGCTTATAATATATTTTTGATACGTAATAGCAACAAAAGAATCCGACAATTGACCCCTTCCTATTAATGGATTTGAACAATTAGCAACTATAATATAGATAAACGGTATGAATTACCTGCTCTTCTTTTCTCTATCCAATTTTCCCTGAATTATCAGATGCGGATCTGGGCCGCTATCTGTTTCAGTTACGGACAATTTAAAAATTCCATAATCGTCGGTTAAGGCATATTCTTTTATGCCGTATATGGGGCTGTCAGCGTCTCTGGCGATTGGTAAATTAATCCTAGTTCCAACGGCGGTTGACTCCGATACGAACACTTTAAAAATTTCTTTATTGAATGTTGGTATATTGTCGTCGATATCCTCTATAAGAACTTTAACTTGACGAATGTTAACTTTTGAATTGACCGTTAGACCCACATTTAACTCAACGAAACATTGTTCTCGGGCATAGCAGATAGAGTCTCTGTCGATAGTTTTTCTACTTTTTAAAATTCCAGTAACTTTATCTATGTCAAACCAATTTTGAGGTTCTTCAGAACCTTTTGGTCTAAATAGTTGAAATTCAACCGCTTGACCGTGAAAAGTTTTAAAAGCGTGACGAAGATTTCCAATTTCTCTTCTTGGATCCTCTTCTTTTGTTTTGAACACTATTGTATTTTGATAAGAAGATTTAATGAGAGAGAATAGAAGCACCACCAGATAAAAACTAGTCATAATCCAATCCGTTCTCTCTCATCCACAGTTCATCTTTGACTATTTCCGACTGAGCACGAGGGGGCGTTGCACTCGAATTTTCGGCCCAAACCATAACCAATCAGCGTCAGCTTAATGTTTTTTTTCTATAAGTACAGCATCATTAGAGTAATAGTTTTAAAAAGGACGCCGAGCGTGAGATGTAAAATAAACATTGCGGCTGTCATCTGCAAAACATTAATCATTAACAAACTCGTTCGAAAGCAATGAACCGTTCAGATTTTCAGAGCAAACGCCTAATTTTTTAAACTCGTTTCGCCAGGGTATTTCGATTGACGTTTACGATATGACCAAAATATTCAATTACATTTGATTTCCTGTTGGAACGGTCAAGCTATACATTTTCACTTTAATCTCTTTTTCACCACGCTACCGAGCTCTGAAAAACACAAACACACATTTATATAAATACAGTATATATATATAGTATATTCCGATATACAAAGGACAAACTGATTTGCGCCATCTATTGGGAGAACTACACCCTAAGTAGTCTTTCCGTAAGTTAAAGGATTGAAGAAACCCTTTGCCAATCTCTCTATTTCAGTGAACTTACTTTTTCTTTTAATTACTTAAATGGAAAGTTCGCTATTCAAAGAGAATCTCAATTTTCAAAAGATATTTAAGATAAAGAATCAGAGAAAAGTATCTCTCAACCAGCCTTCTCCTACTGCCGAGATCTCCTCCCCAATTTATCTTCTTCGCTATTTTTATTTTCTATTCTGTTTACTTTTGTTTCTCGAATTCTCCGCCCCCAGCTCCTATTTAAAGACAATTTATCTAAAATACATTCGCACATATAGTATAATCTTGTTTAATTAAGGATTTTTAACGAATCTTTTTGGTACAAGCAGTTAATTAAAACAAATAGATATAGTGGGGAAGAGTGTTTAAATTAATTCAATCATTGAATACACTCGCGTCAAACTATCTCTATTTTCTCATTTGAGAATGAAATTGTCTATTCTATAGTCCTTAATAGAAATGTTTAACCATGTGAGAAAAGAGCGTTCAAATTACTAGCTTTGAAATTTTACTCTTTGGGCGACCAGTTGCTTGAGCGTTTACAGACTGAAAATGGGTGGGAGGTTAATGTAGATTTCTTGTACAAATTAAGGGGCACCATTCACCGCATACTTCCGACAAGTTGTCATTATCGCAATAAAGCCGATTAATCCCACTGAAGCGTTCATTGTGGGGCAATGACAAATGATTGCAGTCTTCTTTTTAAAAAAAATCGATTATTCAATCCCTTTCATAGGGATTTCGACCCCTACTGAATCTGAATTCGATTCATTTATTACGTAAGTACCGCAAATTCCCCCCTACCTAAATAATAGAAAACCGTAAAATAAGTTTTGCAGAGTTAGAAAGAAAGAGAGAGAGAGGGAGAGAGAGAGAGAAGAGAGGTATTTTGCCTACTGCAAAACTCTTCTAGGCCTAACTTGGAGAAAATTATTAAACTAATAACTGAGACATTATTCTTTGTGTTATTCAAATTTTGATTAATTCTCTTCTATGAAAAAGAAAAAACACCAACTAATTAGCAAGAAATGAAAAGATTGTAAAATGCCAGAAACAAAAAGGGGAAGAAAGACGAGGACGGAAGAGAATTATCCCCTTAACCCCGTCTTTCACAACAACACTTGCCCTATTAAGTGAATGAATAAGGAGGAGGAGGGTAGGGGTGCGAAGGGAGGAAAGAGAGAAAGTATGATAAGAACATCGGAATTGAGAAATTTCTGGCTAAAAATATAATCGGCAGAAGGAAAAATGGTTTGTCGAAATAGTTTGGTAGATGATGCCTTTACGCCTGCCGAAGACGTTGAATGACACGGCACGTGTATGTCGTTAACATCCTGTGAAAGATAATTAGTTATCATCACCCAGATAGTGAATAGTAATCGAATAGATAGGTGAAGATCGCTTATTGCTTTTCCCGCGTGTAACCTTCACCCCACTGCTGTTAATTCAAACGGTTTCTTAACCCCGATATCTTGGAAACGTAACGTTAGCCAAAGATTCCTACTAGAACTAATATTTATGCTTATTAACTTTTAAATACAATAGATGGCGCCACAATACAATGTAACTAGTGTTAGGCTAATCTAAAAGAAAAACAATGTCTAGATAAATTAATCTTGAGCTGAAATTAAGGAAAATATTTCATTAATTATTTATCTTAATTACTATAATCTATTTTTTTTTTTAAAAAAATAACATAAAATAATCATCAACTTTATTGGCTAATAACAAAGTCTTTTTAATATACTTTTTAGTGTATCATTACATCTAAAGAGACTAACATTTTCCCCATTTTTTATTACAATTGGCGATAAAGAATTTTTATTTAAGATAAGAGTAGTATAACAATTATTATTATCACTTAAAAAATCATGGGAGAAAAGTAATCATAAAGTTAACATAGGCGAACAAGTATACAATTCTACTTTACTCTCTCTCTCTCTCTCTCTCTCTTTTTCCCTTTCGAACTTTAGTATTCTTTTATAATGATAAAAATTAATGTGAAATAGAATACACTTATCGTGAAGTTTTATGAATATTAATAATAATTGAACTAGGCCTATAAATCTCATAGGTATTTTCTGCCATTTTTTTTTTATATAAACGTTATCACCTGTTTTCATTGTTTTCTTATAGTATTTTTCTTTTTCCCCCCTAATGTAAACAGAGCATGTATCTACTCTTCTTCCGAACAACTCGTAGTTTCTTTGTCTCTTTCTCTATCTGTGTTGCATACGCTGAATCTCTGTCCCCATCCAACTCAACTCTTTCTTTTTCTCTTTCTCTCGCTCTCTCTCTCTCTGTCTGTTTCTCTTTCTCTGCATCTGTCTTCCTAACTATTTTCCTCTTTCCCACCTATTCTTTTGACCATATGTGCTTACGTGCGTTATTGCTATTGTGTTATTTCATTGTAAAATCTTATATTTTTACAGGCCATTTATCAGTAATGTTTTCTTAAATAAGAAAAACTAAGATCTGCAAAAGATAACTGCAATAGTCCTGTCTTAAATATATACAGTGTGTATACATATATACATAAATGTAAGTTGAGAGTGTTATTTAATGTTACTTTCTTAGAATACATCATTTCTATACTTGTAATAAATTGGTTATTAAGCTATCTCCTTTGTTTTTCTTATTTTTTCGCAAGTACTTCTATTAGGTTTAATTTAGGAAGAAGATAAAGTTGAACAAAATAATCGTGCAATTTTTTAAATCGTTTATATGTCTCTGTTCAATATTTTTTACTTATTTATTTCTATACTATCTAACCAAGTTAATCAGAGAGAATGATAAGAATGAGATAGCATAGTAAACTAGATTGATTTTTTTTCGCTCTCTCTCTCTTTGTACATTGAAAATATATAAGCTAATATCAATAATCTAATTCTTTGATCTAGTTTTTTTCTCCCTCTTTCTTATCTTATATATTCAAAAAAATAAGTTTATATTACACTGTTACACGATATTAATGTATTAATCATATCGCGTTATTAATATACAGTATATATATATATATATTAAGATAGAAAGAAAAATCGTGAGAACGACATTTTGATAAATATCTATTGAAGACATATATTTACAATTATACACTATAAGTGCTTTAACGTATTGTATACAAGTCATTTATGTACAAATCTACGTGTACTATAATCAACTATACTCTCAAATATCGATGTATTTATATTTGCATTAATGCTTTACAGATTACATTAAATAAAAAAAACACGCATAAATTAGCATAAATTAAAAAACTGAGATAAAAAAGATTCACATTTTTAACGTTCAATATATTTTTTGTAAATTATTAAAACTTTATAGAATAATTGATATATTTGGCTTAAAAAAGAGAATATTCGTAACATTGATACTTTTGCTTAATACATAGCTAATTTAATAAAGAAAGTAACACGGCAAAATAGTAACGGTTGCTTGATATTGCTAAATATAGATTTATATAGTTTGTATTATCAATTAAAAGCTAATAATTGAGAAATATATTAATTGTATGAATAATGGAAAGGGGACGAGGAGGAGGAGGAGGAGGAGAAGAACAAGGTGAAATATGACTAATGCTGATGATGGATTTCAAAATTATTTTTCTACTCTATCTAACGTATAAAATATCTTATTACCTGGTGATATTATTGATTTGTCTATTACTGGCCTCGTTGTTCTTTATTCTTTTATAGTAAATTCTGTAATAAATATTTAGTAAAACTGGTACGTTCTGTTTAAAGGCAATTGATATTGATCTAATATATAAAGATACAATCAGTCGTTTGCGATATCATTAGAAAAAAATGGTTTACTAAACGTATTGTACATAAATAGAATTAAAAAGAGAAAACCATGGTTAGAAGGCTTTAATAACGAAAGAAAAGATATTGCAGAAGGGGGGGCGGGGAGCTGGTCGAATTATGAAAGGGTTAAGAATAAAAAAATAATGAGAAGAGAGGGGAAAAGAAAGGAAAAGAAGGGATTATTAGTTTTTTTTTTTTGTACTTTAGTACATTTGTATCGATTGCTGTCACTAATTTAAATTTTTCAAGGAAACATTCCAAGGACTTGAGCTATAAACAAGAAACAATCTACTGTAATCTCTCCTACAATAGATAATTTAATTATAAAATAGAATAATGATAGTACCTTTTTCTTTACTTGGACAAGTCTGTAACTAAACTATATACAATATTGTCTATATATATATATATATATATATATATATATAGACAATATAATAAATAGAATATAATAAAAAAAAAACATTCTAAAAAGAGACTCTTTTTTATGAACAATTAAAAAAATATTTTATCCATCAATAAAATTTTATTATGGGGAGAATCTGCTATTTTTTTTATTCTTTATTATTAAATATATTTACAGTTAATGCTTTACTTTAATAGTAATATTATATAAAGCGCATTTATCGATCAATAATTGTTTTTTTCGGGGAAGTACTTAAACATTCTTCATGGGAGTTATTACTTTCGTATTAATTTGTAGAAAACAAAAAAAAATCCTAAAGGAGAAAGAAAGAGGGTCAATGTCCGCTTGATTAAAAGATGTATACTTATTTATCGTCAATAACCTGTTATTGTTACTCTCTTAACGTATAGTTATTAACAGTTTATAATATATATATGTGTTTTACCAGTTTTTAAGACCCATTCTCTCTTTATTTTATCGTTATTTTTGTTTTTTTAGCAAGTTTCAAATTATTTTTTCCCTTCTATCTTTATTATTATTTTTTTAGATGTAGTTATTTGGATGTTAATTGAATTATAAAACGAATTTTATTGATCTAAAACAACTCTTGAGAATACTACGTCTACAAGATTAATTTCAAATATAATAAATAGATATTACTAATAAAGAGAAACATTGATAATTATTTGCATTTTATTACTTTAATATGAAGAAAAATGACGTTTTGATCATTAATAAATAAACCTTAATGGAACCTAGAACAAGCATGTGCGTATTTAGATAACTTTAGACTAACGTAAACATCATGTGATCTCGTTTTATTCGAACATTCGTATTTCGGAGCGATTGCGTTATTCAACGCATTTTCGTATAAAATCAAAATTTTCAATTTTAAATACATGCAATAATTATTTTTTGATTTTTAATAGTTAATAAAATAATGTATTTATTAATTTCCGGATGAATCCCATGCACGTTGTATAAACGCTGACTCACCTTTTACGTCACGTCGGCGGAATAGAAAATCCCAAATAACTACCAATCAGCAGCCGAGTTTGTGACATCATCACTAAAAATAAGCGGTTATTCAGACCTATATAAACAGCGCTTGGGAAATTCCATTAAACAGTGCTCGTCATCGAGAGAAAGAAATCGGTTTGAAACCTTACTCACAACAAACTTACTCATAGATATTCTTCAATATGATAAAAAACATCGAAAATCACAGTTTATACGATCAGAAGAAACCAACGAAACCTAGAACGTTGCTTCTGGAGTTAAATCAGAATGGATTAAAGATGAAGCCTCCTATCATCAACTCGCCCGATCTTCAGATGCTGAAATTAGCCTCACCAGAAGTTGAAAAGCTCCTAAATCTGAACGGCATAACAACAACACCAACTCCAACAACATCTATACTATTCCCTCCGAAACCTGCCACCGAAGAAGAAGAGGAATACGCTAAAGGCTTCGTTGAGGCCCTGAACAGTGTCTACGCCCAGCGTGGAGGTCAACCGAAATTTTTGCCTACTCCAACTGGAGCAAAGAATGTCGCTAATACCGTTCCAACAGAAATAAAAAGGGAAAATCCTACGCCCATTCCAACATGCGTCTCTTCCCCACCCGTTTCCCCAGTTAACATGGACAACCAAGAAAAATTGAAGATAGAACACAAAAGAGAAAGAAATCGTATCGCCGCCAGAAAGTGCCGATTTAGAAAATTGGAAAGGATTGAAAATCTCGAAGGAAAAGTTAAAGAATTAAAGAACATTAATGCAAAGTTGTCCGAATCTTCTAATCAACTAAAGGAACAGGTATCTAGATTGAAGCATCAAATCTCCCAACACATTCATCGGGGGTGTACTATTACGATAAATCCGACGCTATTGCAATGAACAATTATAAAACTCTTCTTTTTTTTTTGTTTTCTCTCTTTTTGGTTTCCGAACTGATTTAAAAAATATGTATGTTACGTATCTACATCTTTTGTTTTTATAGTTCCGTTTTACTTTCTTATAAATGCTTTACTTATGAATTTGTTTTTGCTTACAATAGAAAAAGAAACAAAAAAATTATATATATATATATACATTTATATACTTTTTCATGTATACGTATTTATATGTTTACATATATATATATATATATATATATATATATATATATATATATATAGTATATTTGTAAATAATGAAGATACTTTTGATGGTGCTGAATGTGGCCATAATCTTTTTTATGGTAAAGAAAGAATTCATAATAATTATATTTATTATTTTAGGTAGTGGTTATGTTACGTAAAATTAAGATGAGTAATAAAACTGATGAATCATTTCTAAAAATAAATATGAATCGTTCCTCTCTTCTTTGGTACCCAACAAAAAAAAAAATAACTTTCTATTCGTTCTTCGACAACTTCCTTCTCGTATGCTTATTCAACAAGTTTTCTAGTCCTTTTTCTTCCCCTTTCAACCAAGTTTCTATTCCTTCCTGCTCCTCCTTCTACCGTCCCTTTCTCTTATGGGCGATATCATCTTTCATTATCACTTCCGTTGGTAAAGCGCGAAATTAGACGGAAATAGTTAATAACGTTTTCTAACTTTATCCCATTTTCGCAAAGCTTTTCCTGTTTTTTCTAAAAAAAAACCACATACACAAACAAAAGAGAAACTGCTAAAGATAGTGATAAACTCTATAACAAAACTAAATACTTGATAATCTTAATTAGGTTAATGTAAAAGATTAATTAGGTTTAGGTTATCTATTTCCATCTTGCTTTATAGAAAACTCTGTTTTTCCCAAATATTTCAATAGATAGTGGACAATAGACGCTCATAGATATGCCTATTTTGGTATAGAACAAAAGAAAAAGCGTATTAAAAAGTAAATAATTGTCAAATTGTTTATTTGATAAAACTTTCATCTCTTTTTCTAGTCCGTTTAGCATTGACATAGACTTTTAAAAGGACTTTATTGAAATATTTTTATTAAAAGACGAACTAGATAGAAGATTGTTACAGGCCTTTTGAAATATTGTGCAGGTAAATTGAAAAAGTGTTATATTGGCCAACGATAGAGAAACACAAAAGGGATTGGTAGGGGGAGTGTGGGAGTAAGAAATAAGACGTAATATAAGAGAGAAAAAGAGAGGGAGAGAACAAAAAAGAATAAAAGAAATAAGAGGAAGGGGGGTACAGGCCAAATCTAGCGGAAGGTAGAGGGAGTTGAATAAATCTTTAAGATATGGCCAACTTCTTTTTTTTACTTATGAAAGCCTATACATTAAAAAAATATCTCTCAGATTATTAAGTTTTATTTCGCATTGATTTTTCCCCCGAATTGAATCGGAGACTTAAAAAAAGGCATTTTTATAAGGTATTAATCGACGTATTTGAATATTGTATCCGCCTGCAAAGAAATATTAAAAAACTTGTGTTTAAGGTGTAGTAGCTGAAGAATGGCTATTTTTTCTTTTTCTCTCTCTCTCTTTAGTTCTTAAGTATTTGTGTAGATCAATTTGTTTAATTAACTAAAAAAGTGAAAGCTGAGTGTATCATTGAAATCAACTTATTACTATTTTTTTGTAGGATCTCTTTTTATTAGAAAATATGTTTGAACAATAAAAGTAAGAGTTTAGAACAATAGGAAAGCGTTTGAAGGTTGATTACGTTTCGGTAGAGTCCCTCCACAATATCCTGTATAAATAGGTAACAATAAAACGTGGTATTTTCTGTTGTAAACAATAACTGTACCGAATGACCTGATATCTTTATTTCTACAGACGTAGCTTTTGTTATCAATGTAGTGTACTTTTACCTGTTCAACTAACCTGTTCTGCTCAGTACAAATTTATCGATTTTACTGCTGAAAGCCTGTAAACTTTCTGTTATTGATCGTTACCACAAAAATCCCGTACAGTATACTAGCCTATATATTACTGAACAAGAAATATTTTGCCTATATATTACATCCGGAAGGTCTAAAAGTAAGTCAAATATAAGTAAGAGAATTCACCTTGAAGGTTAAAATCAAGATCTTGCGATAGATTTCAAAATAAAAAAATAAAAGACACTAAAAACACTGTGGGCATATATTTCAACTATCCACAAAGTAATATTTTAAAAATTATGTTCAAATATTCAATTGTAACTAAAATATGGTAAATAAACAAATAAACAAACAAACAAAAAGATATGTTGTTGTATGAATGTATATAATTATGTATATACATATGTATAAATCATTCTTTGTATTTTACATCACTTATAAGTAATTAAATAAACAAATAAATAACTATTCACATATATACAGTACGTTCATTTTATACAATTTGTTCTGCTATAAGATTATCAATATAAATTGATATATATATATATATATAAACTATTACTGTTATTCTCCCCAATTCCCCACTTGTATCATACAAATTCAATATCGTTAAAAACTGGTTAAAAAATTGAAGTTAAATTTTCATTAATCCTTTAGACTAGTAAGAACATAATATCAATTTTCAATTTAGCATAATAAACATAACAATTAATACTAAAGAAAGGGAAATGGAGAGCGAAGTGAAGAAAACAGAAAGGAAAATATAGATGATATACTTAAGAAAACAAATATAAAAACACCAAAACGTTCCTTTATGTATTTATCAAAGAAAGAAAACAAAGCGAGAAGACATCTTAAAGTAGTAATAACTGAAAACTGTTTTATTTAGCAGTTGGAAAACATTTCTCTTAAGTTAAAACACAAAGATTTCTATGAACAATACCAGTAACGAATTTTTGTTATTAACAAAATAATACTCTATATAACGTAAACAAATTATTACTTATTATTTTCCTTTTGAAAATAACACGGATGGGTCAACGTAGGATCCCGAACTCCCACCCAATTGACTAGATTGACCGTTCGTAGAACCATTCTCTACATTGAGCTGCATTGTATCAGTAGAAATAGGAGAAGCAGTGGCTCCTTTCACTAAAGTTACCTCATTAGTCCTATTTGGATTACAAGGACCTAAAAGGTGTACATTGTCTCTTGGCAAGTAGCCGTTGGCTGTTTCTCTAACATCTTCAAATTTCTCAGGTTCATTTGTTAAATAACCATTCGATCCTTTGTTATGTTTTATCTCAACATAAATCGGAGTCTCCGAACCACTACCCTGCGAATTCTTGTCTCCATCAGTTACAGATTCATCATTCCGTAATAGCGGAGTAGCTCCTTGGTTAGGTTGCTCAGCGTTCGCCGCTTCATCACCATTCGGATGGCTCGAAGATACCTCATTCAAAATAACTGGAAAATCCGTTTCTATCGGGAAATGTACAAATTTCCAAAAGGCGGCTCTATATATTAGTTTTTAATGAAAAGATGGAGAATAAATAAATTGCTTATTATAATAAAATTACTTTTACCTTAACTTCCATGCTAAGACTATGAAAATAATTACCAGTATCAATGAGCCCACTATACCGAGAACAATTAGATTTGCCTTTGATGAGTTTTCGGCTGAGGAAAGAACAATATAATTATTATAACAATACAAATAATAGTTGTAGTAATAAAAAATTGCCATTCAACATTTTACATTATAATAAACTATATAACAGAATAGAAACAAAACAAAACTGCTATATTCTGAAAACTATATAAAATATTCTCTTTATTGCAAATGAATCGTTAATCTATTGGGAATAATTTTTACATACTAAAATTTATATAAGGTATTAAAAAAATACAGAATTCTCTTACGTAAGTTGTATAGTATCCTATCAGCAGCTACTAGACTATACAATTTCCTTCAAAGAAAATCATACATTAAATTCATATATTCGACTTACAGATGGCACTACTTTCTTACAAAAAATTGCGCAAATTCTTGTAGAAAACTACCATTATGTTTGTCTATTTTTGTTTCTGAGGCAGAGTATTTGTAATTAATTGTTCTAGCTCCTTTTTTATGTTTAACATACATTGTATATAATATATATCAGTTGGAAAGTTTACCTGAAAAGTTCGCTGTTTTCTGGTAATTACTTGAATTGGTTGATTCACCTAGGTGAGATCCAACTTTACCCCATAATAAAACTTCCTTGGAGGAGGAAATGCCTAAATCAAATGTCATAGTGCTCTTATTCTTAATCCAAAATTTTTTCCTTTGGCATTCTTTAAAAAATGAAATGAAATAAAGAATGATATAATTAAGAGTTATGCAATAGAAATATTAACGATTAATTATATATACATTTATATATATATATATATAAATGAGGATAAAGATAAAAAGAAGAAAAAAGATTACCTTCTATGCAAACATCGTTCTTGGAAACACAAAAATAAATTACAACATAAGTAAAGAATATATCAAGTTCGCATGGATTTTTCTTCAAGTTTACTATAGAATGCAAAATCTTCCCTCTAATTTTAGTCTTTATATTTTCAATAGCATTATCTCCTTTCATACCTAATTAATTAAGAAGTTATAGAAAAAACCTCAATATAATTAAAAGTATTTATTATACCATTAAAATGTAAATTTTTCTGCTTAAACACACAAGGAGAGAAAAGCAAACCAGACATAAAATCATCTTTAAACTTTACCGAAACACCAACACTAAAATTATTCATAACAGTTTCCGTTAAATCCATTTTTATTGAATATTCAAATAAAGATTCATTTCGAGGAATCTTAAAACTTTCCATGTTATTCTATATTGTTATAAAAGAAAAACAGAGTAATTTTAACATTACCCTTTATAAAAATTAATGATTTATTTTATTTTCAACTTACTGTGCAACCTTTAAGAAAACTGTCCTGATTTCGGCACAAAATTAAAATGTATTCTGTAGCATTCATCACCCAATGTGACCATACAATTATAACTTTATTATTATTCATTGAACGATCAACGTAGGCTGTTAGCAAAATATTTTCCGGCTGCCTTTCTGTAAAATAGATTAAACAAATATAAGTTGTTTTTCTCTTTAAATTCATTACGAAGAAACTATTTTTTTTTATTAAAACTAAAACTAGTAGAGTACTAACCTGCCCAATTTGCAGGTAAATTAATTTGATCTGGTACATCTCTCAATAAGGAAAAGTTAAAACTAAGATCACTCTTCCATGTACTTTCAACTCTAATACTGCTGTCGAGCCCCTTTCTTATAAATTTACATATAGAATATAGGTCCTCAAACGAACATGAGATATCAGCATTAAGAATTGTCGTTAAGTGTTTCTCTGTAATTTTGTATGCTACAGTTTTTCCACCAGCTAGTCTCCTGCTTAAGGACTGTTTTTTCTCTTGTATTAAAAGTTATACAATATATCATAATAATACTTACATTCCAGATGACAGATACGGAAGGTTTAATACCATTTTGAATATAATAAAAAGTCTCTGGTAAAGCTTCGGGTTCTAAAAATGATATTCAAGGAGATTTAATAATAATAAACATTTATCCAAATTTAAAAATTACCTGTTGTGTTCGTTATAAAAGTATAAACAGTGTTTTCACTAGATTTACCATATTCCTTTTCGTTATCAACCCTAATTAACGACATGAATAAGCTATAATTTGTTGCAGGGGCTAAATTTTCAAATTTGCAGAATCCACATGAATCTTCATTTCCAGTGATGACGTATACAGTTTTCTTATCCTTAAAAATTTCACATTTATTTAAAATGTGTTTTCTTTAAGCTTTTATTAATAAAATTTAGAAAAATGAGGAAATCCTATATTATATCCTATATTTTTTGACCTGTAAGATCCTAATCTTCATTCGTCAGATGGCGTGTGTAGCATAAGAAAGCTATGCTTTATAAAATACTATTCTGTCATTCTCTCTCTCTCTCTCTAATACGTAATCGCATTCATAAATCATTTTACATTCCATACTGATAAGTAGAATGTTTGCAGAAAGACGTAAACTCTCATTCGCCTTTTCTTTTCATACGCTTTCTTATCTTTTTTATCCATGCCTCTTGTTGGTCCTGTGAGTTGAACTCCCACTACTGTTCCACATTTATTTTCTACTCAAAATGTCTCTTCTATCAGAGTTCACTCGATCTTTAGTATTACCTCTCCGCATTTTATCCATTTAGGGTAACTTGTACCTCTTCTTCCTTCTCTTTTCACTATTTTCCACTTTAATAGAGAACCTAACCTTCTACCGTGTCATATCTTACTTAATAGACAGTGAATTCGTCTTTTCTGACCCTGTCTCTCGTTTTTGTATCAATTGAACATGAATATTTTCATAATATAACATAATTATACTGTGCTTGTCTAATGTTAGTTGTGTGAGATCAACACCTTTATCAAATTTAACCTGTAGAATTTGATCTATAAATATTCGTTGTATATTGTATGTAGATGTAGAAAGTAATAAGAGTACGGCGTCCAGGTAGACAATATGTTATATCAGTCTTTATTTTTACTTAAATCGTTGTCATTTACCCAGATACTTATAAATATACGAACATACTTTCCAGTAATCTGTCATTCAGATTCCCTAATCAATTAGCTGTCTTTCCTGCCCTGCCTACATGTAAGCTATATAAATGCAAAGATTCTCTATACTTTCCATACATTACAATAATATATTCATAAAATTATATACTCTATATATGTTATACACTTTTATCCATTTACTTAGAGACTATCGTTTCCTTATTTTTCTATAATATAGTAGTATTAAATGAACTTACAGATTCAGCCACTTCGTTGGTTGATAATTTGCAGTAGAGATTCAGTTCAACATCATAATGGTGCTTCACTTTCAAAAAATTTTTTGATGGTTGAACAGGTACTATCATTGATGTGCTATTGACAATTGGATCCTTCAAGTTGTCACATTCATAAACAATGGGTTTTCCAGGAATTACTGTTTAATATCGATTTAATAAGTATTGAAAATATAAATATAGATGATAGTATTTTGTAATGAAATGGTAGAAAATAAATAGTTATATGTACATAAGTCAATTAATATAGATTATATGTTTAAATTGCAAAAAATTTGCCAACTAGAAAATATTCCTTTCAACTTAACAAAGAAAAGAAAGTATATAAAAAAAAATCTCCTTACATTTGTTTGTTCCTAATTTGTAAACGTATTTGTCTTCAAAAGGATAGGCGAATGTTACTGCAGAATTTTCTTTATCCATGGAAAGATTGACATTATTTTTGTTTAGAGAGCTCAGGTCAAAATTTTTAGGGAAATTCATTTCAAACTTTATATGCAATTCAGCACGTATCATTAATCGATAGTCTTTTTGAGCAAAACTTTGAGCGAAGTTTCCTATGTCAGTTGTGCAATTGTTTAGCGCGATATTTGTCGTACATAGCTCATATACTCCAGAGTATTTGCTGCAAAAAAAAGAATGATAAAGATGTTTAAATTTTTAGAAATAAAATATTATAACATCGCAAAATTGTGTTCTATTTCTACTGTTCTAATTAGCTTCTCGATAAGAGCTTTATAAATGGACTGACATATATCGCTGCCATCTTTTTGGTCTGTCTGTAAGATCAAACAGCCCTTTTACAAATATAGAATCTTTCCTTCACCGTATTTTCGTTGCGAATAAACAGTTTTCAAGGTCAGTAAAATAAGAATGCTGTAAACTTCAAAAAGTATTCTATTTTAAGTTTATATACAACTTGCTATTATAAAAGAAAAAGGTAAATAAATCGCCTAATTCTCGTTTCTTATTAGTATTCTGAAAAAAGGTTATTTTGTATGAGAACTTTTCAACAAATACAGAAAACAAATATATATCTTATAAAGATTATAACCATTCATTAAGGTGCCCGAATAAATTTATCTTATAGGTTATGAATATAAAAATAAGTTAGATATATTATTATTCAAGCTGCTGGATAATCCGAAACTATAATAGATTTTATTAATCTTCGAAGTGGGATGTTTAAAAGTCGGTAAAAAAATAAAACAAGACCTAATAATAAAATCTTTCTCTAAACCAAAGAATACTAGTATTGCACTACTACAAAAAAAAGGTACCAGAGAAAGATCTGTAAACAAAAGCCTGGTACCGAGTGGCACAATTAGAAGACATCTGCTGAATTAAAATAAAGTGGCTTTTTACAATTAAGACTTTACTTACTCTTTAAAAGACAAAACAGTGTTGAATTTCGGCAATAGTGTCCCCTTGGCCTGCTTGTGAGCAAAAACCCATTCACAATTAATATCAGAATAATCGTATAAATAGCATTTTTTTATAATTGCGGGTTTTGGCCAACCTGAAAGCAATTAACACATTTAAATGTAATTTTCTACACTTGACGGTTAATCTACAATTTAATATTGTTATTTTTAAAATACTTACTAAGAGGAGATAGAGTTACCCCTCTAGAATCATTTGAGGAAGGTTTCGCACAGTAACATACCCTGCAATGTCTACAATCTTTCCGAGGCTGATAATTCAGCCAAGGGGTACGAAAGGCAAAGCTGAGATTTCTATATCCACCACTTTCCGGATGTTCTTCAACACGTATTTTCATAATATTATTACATTCATCATAAACACTTTTGGACAATGGGTATTTTTCATTCACATAACATAAAAAATTAGATTGCAACTTGACTTTGACAAAAACATCAGTGATGCTGTTTGATTTTTCTTCGCAATGCACAACTAAAAATCCATCTTCCAAAGCTACATAGTCATTAGAACTTGGACTATATCGTATAGCTGTTCCAGTTATATGAATATTACCTAATCAATGAATAAAAATAAAGAAATCATGAATGAATTGTTGAAACATACTCAAAAAGAAATAAAAACAAAGAGTAAAAAGTGTTGAAAGAAAAGATTACTTACTTAGACTCTCACATTGCGTGGCCACTAAAAGCAAGACAAAAAAGAAGATAATTAAATCTTTACTTATAAATAGAATCAAGAAATTTATTATAAAATGTATATTTAAAAAATATAGAAGGTATAACTTTTTAATTTCTTTAGATTAATAAAATTTGAACTATTATTAACATTTACCAGTAATAAATAGTAAAGCTGCGCCAAAATATTCACTAATTTTCATAGTGAACTGTCACATTGTCATTCCTGAAAGAAGAAGAAAAAGTAGTAGAAATGGAATAATATCCAAAATTATTTAATAGAAACAAAAAAAGCAAACTAAGCATTAGCAATATTAATATACATATATGAGAATGTGTGTTTGTGTGAATGGATGTAATAAACATTCAATTTTACACATTTAAAAATGAAAGAATATAAATATTCTCCGTATGATGTAGATACAAACGTTTGTATATATATAGATGCTACCTATATTTAACTGTTTTGCTCAGAAAGAGTTTCTATTAAATTGAAAAATGAATACATGAAAATATCATATTAGAAACACCTAACAGATTTTTCTTTACACTTTTAACAATGAAGTATACTTATATGGACGAAGGTTTTTTTTTAGCCTTTATAGAATTGTTACAGACGTCAACTACTGAACAGACGTGCTGGTAAAAAAAAGCAACTATTGTTGAAAAGGGTCAATGACACCATTACAGTATATCGCCTTTATCAATGAGGCGGAACGGAAAAAATAGGCCAACTAGGCCAAGTTTAGGTGTAGACAGAAAAAAAAGAACGCTGGATAAGCATCTTATATAAGCATCTTATATATACATACTCTATCTATCATTTCATTAAATTGTTAGTTAGTTGAGCAAGAAGATCAAGAAAAAAATATAAATATAATTAACAAAACACTAAAATAATATAATTAAGAAAGTTAAATTAAGAGAAAATATCTCTATCAATAGTGTTACAGTAAGCGCTGAATATTCGTTGACCTTTCTTCACAAACTTAATCTTATATCACGATGAAAGAAAGCAATTATAAAGTTTAACATTGAAATATCACTAGGTAAGAATCGTTACATTAGTTTGAATTTTATTTTCTTTTTATGTGTTAAGTGCTTCTCAATGGAGAATCATCTATAAAGTTTCCATCTATACATTTGAAACCGTAAGCGGTCAGTGCACCTTTAATAATTTATATTTCGATCAATTTTTATTACTATTTGATGATAAATTCTACTTTTCTCGAAATAGTTTTTGTATTTTTTGTCAAGTCTAGTCACAATCAATAGTTGCGTAATATTCAATAGTTTTTAACCTACAATCTGTTATCCGACAGAGTTTAATTAGCTGTAGCTAATCTAACGTTAAAGAGTATCAAGAGAATATGAAAAGGAAAACAATGAGAAGTTATCTCTATGTTAGAGAATAACATACCTTTTTATAGTATCAAAAATATAAAAAGTAAATTATTCTAATAATTCCAACCTTGCCTGATAGGTTACCTATTGTATATTCTTTTTCACAACTTTTCTTTCGAATATCTCTATATATTAGAATATGTATATTATACAATTTCTTTTCATTTTCATATAGGGGACAAAATCGTTCTTTTCTCTGAGTTGTTCAATACAATCTCCTATAACTTTGACTTCAGAAAAGGGCTTGTAGGTCATTTATAAATTAGTATATAAAAACTTATCGTATTAACAGAGATATTCTCCATTTTGTTAGAGTAGAATAAATAAAGAAAACTATAGAAATTATTATTTATTATTATTAACCCTCCTACTTCTTTTTTCTAGAATTAATTATAAGAATAAGTAATGAGAAAAATATTCAGCGAATCTATTTGTCTAGATGATTTCAAATTGTCTATTTGCTATTATCATTCTAAAATCTTCTTTTTCATCTTGTCCAATAATTGAAGATGACAGCACACCACGTGTTATGCTTATATCGAAATGTCTGCCTGTCTGTGTATGTGTATGAGTCTGTCTGTCTATCCAACTACCACTGTGTATATCTGTCTGTCTCAGTCTTTCATTCTTCAACTATCTTTTATACTATGATACAGCCTTTCAAATTATTCAAATATTTTCATCAGGACAGTATTAAAATTTCAACTGTAAAGATTTTCAACTGTAAAGTGTCTTACCAGTAATAATAGATTAGTTACATATGTTTCTTTAAGAACATTATACATCTCATTCGCTCACTTACTATTAATAGATATATATATATATATACAGTATATATAAATTTATATACTATATATACAATATTTATATCTCATTTTCATTTTTCGCAAGTAAACACATGAATATGTTTTTAACTACTAATTGTGTCTAAAACTTCTATCGATCAATGAAAAAGAGTGCTCAATTCAATAATCTTTTGCCTAAATAGGTTACGTCGAAGCATCTAGAGTATCTTTTATTTAAATACATGCTATATAGTAAAAAGAAAACAAACTTGTGCTTGATACTTATACATGGACGATATTACGGTAGAAATATCGTTATAAATCACTGTATAATGATCTATTTAATCCAACATCCAGAAATTGTCAATTGAATGTTCACTTAAATAGTCTTGATTTATAGATTTAAAGGCAGAATTTATCTCTCGCCTTGGCTCTGGGCTGGTGACCTGATGTTGATCTTGCGGAAGTTCCGGTAAAAAATGAGGACAAGAACTGGTTCTCTCTTTGGCGGCAACTGAGATTATTCAGTGTTTTGTCAGCATTTAAACGTGTTAATACGATAACTATAAATGAAATAAGTCATTGATTAATATTTATAATCAATTTTATCAATTTGAGATTTAATTTTATTAAAAAATCATAATTCTTTAATTCTATTAAGCTTAATTGTTTACATATATAGTATTCGAAGTGTAGTGTTGTTCAAGTATTTGTAACAGAAAATTTCTTATATATATTTTATTATCAGTTGAACGCAAATGTTACTTTTTTTATTAGCAAACTTGTTAGAGAAGCATGTAGCAATGTGTAATTGAATTGTTATTTTTTTTAAATGTATTATTGCTCTATCAGTAATTATTAATGCGTTTTTTGGCCTCTATTGTACTAATTACTATTAATAAGCATATATATATATAAATTTATATATATATATATTATATATACATATAAAATAATCATTTTGATAAACTGAAAGTATCTAAGCATATTTTCGTGTGTTTCTAATAGAATAAAATTTTTAGGAATGACCTTGAACATACACTTTTTAAGATAAGAAAAACTCAAAATAGCAATCATTGAATGAACAAAAAAACAGACTTTAGAAGTATTATACAAAACTACAATCTCTTATCAAACAAATTTGATTTCGACACGATCTTATAATCGTCATCTTAACAACTGACTTATTTTTATGTTTTTAATACTTTTTCTTCAACTATTAAAGCTCCTTTCATTATATTTAACTTTAATTTATGCTTTTTTTAACCATTTTTATGTAAAAATATTTGTTTATAACAACTACTTCTTATCGACAATCAACAGCAAAAACGGTGATATTATCTTCTTTGTTTCTCATCTTTTTCGCCTAAGTATTTAATTATATTTGGAAAAACTGAGTAATTAAAGCCTGTGTATATTAATATATATATATATATATATATAGAGAGAGAGGATTTTATAAAAAAATAACTTTTTTATCGAAAATTTCATTCAGTTGTAAAGCTTTGAGAATTTATTGCTTTATTAAGCCTACAAAAAAGCTATAAAATAAAAATTATAATAGAGACGAACAAAGATATTTTTGTGTTTGTGCTATATTGTTATAAACATTCCCTTTTGGATATATATGTATATATACAGCTATATATTTTATATATTTAATGAGTCAAGGTAAAATTACTTAACTTGGTAAAGGTTATACCTTCTTTGGCATAAAAGTATGATTAGTTAACGAAAATAATAATTCTATTAAATATATTTAAATATTTCACTGGTACTTTCATTTCTTTGCTGAGAAGATATCTATTGAGAGAATATCAACTATATACAATTCAAAATAGTATAATAATAAAAAACTGTTCATGAATATCTGTTAAGAATTTGATACGGGAACAAAAAACTTTTAATTATGAAATGTTTTTTTTTTTGTTTGATGAGTTATGGATTCCTTTCATAAATAAGTTATCTCTGACAACTAAAATTTGATTAATAGGCAATTAAGTAATTCTTTTAGAAATTATTATAATATTTTTAAATAAATTCAATACAAGTTGATGAGCAAAAGTTTTTTCTTTTGTTTTTTTATTATTTAGAGCATACATGTGACTAAAAGCCACAGGTACAGGGCTATTCTAAATAGTTCATGTATGACGTGTGGAAATTGATTACCTAGATACAAAGACTTGAGAATTTTGTTTAGTTACCTAAAACACCCATTTGTTACCTGTGTTCGAGAAATATTAATAGTGTTTTTCAAAACTTGTTGCTCTATACACTACCTGTATATTTGTTGTTGCTACTCGTTTTAGTTAGTAATCACAACTTTGCCTCTCGTTTTTGCCCTTAAACATTTTGAATATATGTTTTCTTTAATTATGTTAACAATTGAATAAGATAGCCTATCCATGAAGTATCATAAATTCGATAAAGACGAGATTATTAAATCTCAAACAATTAATGTCTCAACAAGTGTAAAAAGATTCATTTACTGATAAATTATCAAGGTATCGGCGTGTAGATATATATATATAACAATGCCCCCATACAACTTACCTTAAATATTTACTATTATCGTAAAAATATTGTAACACTATTAGTATCCATTATATTGTATATTATACTTAATGTAATTAGAATCTCTTATAACCTATTTCGTATATAACATCGAACAAATTTGTTTTGCCGCCAAAAGAGAGAACCAGCTTTTGTCCTCAATATTTACCGGAACTTCCGTAAGATCAACATCAGGTCACCAGCCCATATCGAAAAGAGAGAGCAAAGAAGAGAGAAGACTCGCCTGACAAAAAACCTGTGAATCAAGATTATTTAACTAAATATTTAAGTGACATTTTCTGGATACAACATTAAAATTATCAACAGACATTTATACAACGACCTGTAACGATATTTCTATTATAATATCGTCCATATACAAGTAACAAGCATAAGTTAGTTTGTTTTCTTTTTATTGTAAGCATGTTTTTTAAATACGACACTCTAGTTACTTTAGCAAGGACTTTAAATGAAATTGTGTCATGTCTACTTATTGAATTTAACATTCCTATTCATTGATTGAATCTAAATGTTTAAAAAATAATTTGTAATTCGAATATTTTATTCTATTGACAAAATAATGTCTACATAAAGCTTTAGAATTTTTCTTCTCATTATAATGAAATTCAATTAGTTTAGGTTTTACGAAAAATATTACAATGCATTATTCTATCATATTAAATATGAAAGAAAGGAAGAAAGAGAGAGGGAAAGAGAGACATGTAGGAATGACTATAACGCATGATCACGTCCAAATTAATACTAAAAGATAAGGATTTTAAAAGAAAAGCAACCTTTATAACTTTTGAAATGGTAATAATTGAAAGAAAAATTAGAAATTGCCTAGACATTTAGTTAATATTTCTCCCTCATTATTTATGCTTATATGAATTTTAATAGAAAAGTAAAGAAGCTAAACTCTTAAAAAGTAATTAGAAATTTAACAAGTTTGAATAAACGACATTTATTATTAATTTATCTTTTCCCTTTAATTGGAAGAGATATGAAGGTAAAGTAAGGAGAAGCAAGATTAAGATCAATAGAATAATTGTTGTATTTACTATACTATAAAACACATATGGAAGAAGAATACAAGTAAAACTATACAATATTGCAGATGATACTATCATTATAAATTGTATTTATATATAGGTTGCAAATTGTGTAGGTGATCGTGTAGGTGGCAGAAATTTATATGAATACTTTTAGGACAATACTATGCAGAAACCCACTAAATTGAACTCTAATAAACAATATTTTCATGGGCTTGACTTTATGTAATTCACTTCAGTAACTATAGACTTACAATGTCTTTAATTGTATTAAAGATACTTCCGGAAACCAAGAAAAGATATTAATTAATAATCTATCAATCGTGATATAAAGTATTATGAGGAATCAAGTTGAGTTTCAAAGAAAGTAAAAGAAAGAGATTTTAATAATCTTCATTTAAGTTATAATGAAAAAAAGTAAGAAAGAATGAGGTTATATATTTTTACTATGGTAATTGAAAATGAAAGGTTTATAAATGATTAGTTTTTATTTCCTTCTCTTTCTTTTTTTTCTTAATATAAATTATAAAGGACAAAAAACAAAAAATAATTAAAATATACACTTTCGTAATTGAATATTGGTTTATAAAACATAATAAGTTTCTGTTCTATTCTATGGAAATATTAACGTACTGTTTCAACATTTAGTTTAAGACGCCTATTTAAATTAGTATACTATTTCTAGATTCCATCTAATTTACAATTTTACAAAATAACATTTTAATGTTAATGAAATATACAGTATATCTAACTTTTCATCATCAATTGATTATTAATGGATAAGGAAACATGACTTGGGTTATTTGACTTATGTTCTAATCGTATGTTACTTCTTTCAGTTTATATTTTCTAAAATAAATCATTATTCTTCTCTTTACGCTTCAATACAGTCCCACGTGGCTTTGCATAATCAGACCATATATTTTTTCATAAAGGATGTGACAAATTAGCTTATTTAAGTCTAAAGTAACACAACAGTACTCTTTTTTTTCCAGAAGTATAAAAAATTGACAGAATTACCATATAAATTCATACCTTTATATATACAGTACATATATACAGTATACATCAATAAATATATCCCTTCATATATGCTTCACAACAATATTAGATTAGTTCTTTCCTACTCCATCCAGTAGCGTATGTGAATATAGACTACAAAACTATTGTTTATTAAGTTCATTAAAACATTCTGTCTTTTCATATATACAGTATATAGAAAGAGAGAGAGTATATATTATCCTTAAAGGTCTTTTTACTGCAAATTGAATATAAACTGTCTAATACCTCAATAATTTGATTAAATTTTATTATTTTTTATTTTATTACTGCTGCTGCTTCTTCCTCGTCTTCTTTTACTTCAACTCAGATTGACAATGTGACAGTTCGCTATGAAAATTAGTGAATATTTTGGCGCAGCTTTACTATTTATTACCGGTAAATATTAATAATAGTTCAATTTGTGTATTTTTAAAGAAATGTAAAGAAATTATTAAATTTATTTCGTCTTACTTTTAGTGGCCACGCAATGTGAGAGTCTAAGTAAGTAATCTTTTCTTTCAACACTTTTTACTCTTTGTTTTTGTTTCTTTTTGAGTATGTTTCAACAATTCATTCATGATTTCTTTATTTTTATTCATTGATTAGGTAATATTCATATAACTGGAACAGCTATACGAATTAGTCAAAGTTCTAATGATTATAGTGTTATGGAAGATGGATTTTTAGTTGTACATTGTGATGTACAATTAAAAAATGTTCCTTTTGTTTTTATTAGTATAGGACAAGATTCAACCTACATATGTTACTTGAACAGAGAAAATTTTAAATTTAACAAATCGGAAGGGATTGGTGATAGATGCCATGAAAAATTATTTGTGAAAGTAGACGAGAAAAAGTTGAGTGATGACATTTTTAGACTTAGCTTTTCGTTTGGCATAACCTGGAGCAAATTATTTAGTGGTAGTTTACAGAGGTTTTATACATGTCGATGTGAATTGAGCTCCACAATTGAGAGTTGGCGACAAGCTTCCCTGCATATGTTTGGTAATATTTTCTTTTCATGACTAAGATATCAATTTTCTTATGTTATTCTCTCTTTTAAAGATTGGCTGGAGCCTCCGATAATAAAATATTGTGAACTTAACGATTATTACAACGTTAATTGCGAATGGAAATGGGATAATCAGGTGTACTCTAGTCATTTTGGAAGTACAATATTACGACAAGTCAACATTAGCATCACTTACAAATCGTAAGTTATGATTAAAATTCAAGAAGAACAATAATCAATCTATACGATTGAATATCAGTTTTCTTCCTTTCTATATAGTTGAATATATAGAATGTGATTTATTGTCCACATTTTGAATGAATTTATAAATTAACAAACCAGCAATATATTAGTATATATAGTACTGATATATTTCAATGTAATTTTTCATTATGCCATTCAATCTGAGTGTAAAATACTGTTGAAAAAGATATACGAGAAGAAAAATGATAAATCTCATCTGATAAGATGCTAATTAAAATACTTAATTACCAATTTGTTTTTCATTTAAAATATATCTTAAGTTTATTTTATATCTAAGATTATTTTCATCGAAATTTGATAGATGAGAATTGCTGGAGAGAAATTTGAAAAATAGATCTCTCTTCAAACAATATAACACAATACTTATTGGCAAAAGTATAAGATGTCATTTTATATCGTAGCCTCTATTGTTGAAATAGGAGAAAACTTATTTCGAGAAAGAAGAACACACACTGTGATTGAGGAAGTTATTATGTTAATCAGAAGTAAAAAACCACATTTAGTTAAATACGTTCTTTCTTCTTCTGTAAATGAAGAAAGCTTAACAATATTCTTTGAAGGAGGAGAATCGAGAGCGAAAACTAGAGCAGAATATCAGTAAAAAGACAACAATAGTTATTTTTATCAAAAGTAGTCATTTGTTTAGCTTATACACGTATATGAATTATCTTGGGAAAAATTAGAAATTATCTATAAATCCCATTAATAACTATAAAAACATTTTGTCTTTCATCCGCAACAATAGCAACAGCAGACATTTATATTAAATGATCGAAATACATATAATATTAGAAATCGAATGTTTTTCAAATATCTTTTAATGTGAAATACTTGCAGAACAAATTCAACTTTTCATCAACTTTGTCGAAGAAGGGCTACAAATAAGACACACTGTATAGGTACAATAGAAACGCCCTACAACAAGGAAACCAATAAATTCGAAATACAATTAAGTCCCCAACTGCAAATTAAATTTTTAATGGAGTTTCCACAATGGCTTAATTTACAAAGTTTGTCTAAAGAGAATATAAATGTTTCTATGAATAAGGATAACTCAACAATAATTTTTTCACACCCGTGGAAAAGGGAATATATCTATCAATTAGGAAAAGACAATTGTAAGCCTATTTCCATAAATCTATTGCTTAATATTCACAGGAAACCGAATTAATTATAAAAACATTCACATTGTCTATTAAATAATTCATAATAAACAGTAACACCTGGAAAGCCACGTATCTCCGCATGTGAGCACTTGAAGAATATAGATATAAGCGGAACATCGACAACAATACCCGTTCAGCCGTCAAAAAATTTCTTGAAAGTAAAACATCATTACGATGTTGAACTGAATCTCTACTGCAAATTATCATCTAACGAAGTTGCTGTACTTGTAAGTTCCTTTTATTAACAATTTGGTAGAAAGTGTATTTGTATGTTTAGAAAATATCTAGGCAAATGACAACCATGTATGTAAAAAATGATATAGAGTATTCTATATACCTGCGCACCGTACCATTGTTACTTCCACATCTACTTACAATATAAAGCGAATGTTTAAAGATTAAATTCTCCATGCTCAGTTTGGTAAATGTATTTATCTCATTCTACTGGTGCTGGTGACCACTATAATATCAGTATAAAATAAAACAACAAAACATCTCTCCTTAAGCAAGGATGTCAAAAAGGATGTAAAAAACAGAAAATGAGAAAAGGAAGAAATAGGAGACAGAGTAAGAAAAGACGAACACGTTGTCTATTAAGTAAGATATGACACGGTAGAAGGTTAGGTTCTCTATTAAAGTGGAAAATAGTGAAAAGAGAAGGAAGAAGAGGTACAAGTTACCCTAAATGGATAAAATGCGGAGAGGTAATACTAAAGATCGAGTGAACTCTGATAGAAGAGACATTTTGAGTAGAAAATAAATGTGGAACAGTAGTGGGAGTTCAACTCACAGGACCAACAAGAGGCATGGATAAAAAAGATAAGAAAGCGTATGAAAAGAAAAGGCGAATGAGAGTTTACGTCTTTCTGCAAACATTCTACTTATCAGTACGGAATGTAAAATGATTTATGAATGCGATTACGTATTAGAGAGAGAGAGAGAGAATGACAGAATAGTATTTTATAAAGCATAGCTTTCTTATGCTACACACGCCATCTGACGAATGAAGATTAGGATCTTACAGGTCAAAAAATATAGGATATAATATAGGATTTCCTCATTTTTCTAAATTTTATTAATAAAAGCTTAAAGAAAACACATTTTAAATAAATGTGAAATTTTTAAGGATAAGAAAACTGTATACGTCATCACTGGAAATGAAGATTCATGTGGATTCTGCAAATTTGAAAATTTAGCCCCTGCAACAAATTATAGCGTGTTTATGTCGTTGATAGGAACTGATAATGGAAAGGAATATGGTAAATCTAGTGAAAACACTGTTTATACTTTTACAACAAATACAACAGGTAATTTTCAAATTGGAATAAATGTTTATTATTATTAAATCTCCTTGAATATCATTTTTAGAACCCGAAGCTTTACCAGAGACTTTTTATTATATTCAAAATGGTATTAAACCTTCAGTAGTTATCATCTGGAATGTAAGTGTTTATTTTAACGTTACGATGCATTATTCATTAAGTTGTAATGAAACAAAAATAGCCATTAAGCAAAAGACAAAGAGGTGGAAAAACTACTGCATACAAAATCACATTGAAAGAGGATACTGCAAAAATTTTGTCTGATATTATGTTTGCAGAAGAGCCTTTTTTCTATCAATTTAATTCGAAATTGATTAGTGAAACAAGACCGTATGCAATTAGAGTTGAAAGTACATGGAAGAAGGACAATACTTTTGACTTTTCCTCATTAAAGGAGAGACCAGACCAAATTGCCCTCCCTGTCAATTGGAGCAGTAAGATTTACAATCCAAGCCGTTTAATTGCCCTAGAAACTATTGCTTTTTTTTATAGAAAAACAACCAAAAAATCTTTTGGTAACGGCCTATATTGACCGTCATCCATTGAGACTTGTAGTTTTATGGTCAGAATGGGCGTTGAATGCTGCAGAATATATTTTACTTTTATGCCGTAATCAAGATAGCTTTTTAAACGGCTGTAAAGTGAGTAATAGCAAACAAAGCAAAGATTTGACTTTTATTAATTATTCTCTTCTTTTTTTATGCAGACAAACTTGGAAATTTTTAAAATTTCAAGAGGAGAGAATGTTTATGAACATTCAATAGATAGTAGATCGTTAAACGATTTTCAAAAGAATTTTAGTATAGCTATTGCATTAAAATTGGAAGAAAATTTTATGTCTGGTTTGATTTTTTCGCCATGTGTTTTTAAGAATAAAGTACGATTGCACGGTATGTTTTTTTATAATTCCTTATATTTAATTGAAACAGAAAGCTATTATATAATAATTGAATAGGTACGAGAGGAGAAGATAATATTGAAAGGATAACAACAATTGTTAAAGGAGAAATGTTTCAAGCTATAGTTAAATTAAGGAAATCTCCTTGCGATCTTGATGTATTTTTCATGTACATCATTGTATATTTCTGTATTTCAAAGGATAATGTCTGCATAGGAGGTAGTAATTTGTCATTTTATACAATAAGTAACTTTCATAGAATTTGCTTTTATTTTCTTCCTTTGTTCAGATGTTCACTTTGAAAAGAAGTGGTTAGGTAAAAGTATATCTATTCAATATGATTTGAATATTTCGGCTAAAAACAATATATTGCTGTGGGCCAATGTTGGTTCGCATGTCGACGAGTCAACTAATACTACCGCAGAAGAAAGTTTAGGACAAATTTCAGGCAAGTTCATTTCATTATTTCTATTATAAAAAATTAATACTTTTTCTTCTTCTTCCAACAGAAGAAATTAGATCGAATGTTGCTATTTTAGTTGTTGGTGTTGCAAGTTCAATAGCTTTAACTATAGCTTTTAGTTTATTCTTTTGGAAGTTAAGGTAATAAAATTTTTAATTACATCATTCTGTTACTATATATACACTATGGATATTTATTTCTATTTTACAGAGCCGTTTTAAAGAAGTGTGTTCATTTTCCTATTAGTAGAAATCTACGAGAAGTGCGACTTCATAGTGTTTCTTCCAACCATCCTGATGTACGAATGAATAATGAGCTACCAAATGGAGGCGTAGAATTGTTATTAGGTTCCACTGAAACTGGAAACGAAAGCGAAAAGAATACCGACGAAACGAATTTAACATATCCACAATATATTGCAGTTCATCATTTAGAGGATTCAAATGGATATATTTCAAACGAAGTCTCCTTTTTTAATGATATCAAAAGACCGCCTTCACATAATGGTAACTTGCCAAGAGACAATTTGAATGTTTCAGGACCAGGACCTAACAACTCTGAGAAGAGTGGAGAAATTTTCATAGGTGAAGGACTATTATCTGGTTCTGTTCCAGCTAACTTGTTTCAGCTCAATGCAGATGATTCTGTAGAATGTATGTCTAGTCAACCAGTTGTGGTTTCTGGTTATGTCGACCCATCCTACTTTTCAAGAGGGAACTAAAAAGCATATTTTGTTCAGTTTTTCATACACAGTATTAAGTTTACTTCAGTTATAGATTTTTCTGTTTATACTAAACTTATGTATGTAATGAAAGAGTCAGGGGTGCCTTAAACCACTATAAATTATTTAAAGTAAAAAACTTTTATTAGTGAAGTAATACAGTTTTTAATTTTGTATTTAATGAAAAAAAAATGTTAAATATTTTATCTGTTATATTTTACGATAAAATCTTACCTAACAAAAGTCGGATCCTTTAAAAAATAGCTTTTATATAAGTGTCATTGCAATCAAGATTTTATTCAAACCTTTGATACAAATCTTTACGTAGTAGTGATTTTATCCTATCATCTACACAAAAACAAACATAATATTAACCTCTCTCATTCAACATACCGACATATATACCTGTTCAAAATACAACACCCATGACATGCTGAATTTATTTGAGAAAAAGGTTAATTGGACTCCTCACTGCTATAAAGCGTCGGTGTTTTCTTTCCTTCTTGCTTACGTATCAACGATTGCAATGCTTTTTCTCTGAGAACCTTCTCAAGTTCAACAAGCTCTTTTTTTGGATTAGCCTCTTCCGGGCTTGAACTACGCTTTTTCTTCTTGCTTTTCTTCTTATGTTTTTTCTCTTTCTTTTCTTTTTTCTTCTTCTTCTTCTTTTCCGCATCCCCATCCGCATCCCCATCGTCATCAGTTTTCTTCTCCAGGGTTATTATGCGACGGTCTGGTGAAATACTTTTTTTTTTCTTACTCTCGGACAGTGATGTCCTTGGACTCCCTCTTCGTCTGGGGGATAGTTTTTCTACCCTTCTGGGCTTTTCATCTTCCGAAGAGCTGCTTCTCGGACGTTTTCTAGGGGAAATTGATTGCTTTGGTCTTATAGGCGAAGTAGAATATTTACGATGAGGACTCCTCGATTTTCTAGGAGATACGTTTCGGCCCCTTGGTGATTTTGATCTCCGACGTGGAGAACTTGGACTTCTTCTTCTTGGTGACGGTCTATTTTCCCTTCTCGGTGAAAATCGCCTATGGGGACTTCTTCGTCTCGGTGAATATCTCCGTGCATACGGTGATGGAGTACGATGCGATCTTCTTGGAGATCTCCTGGGAGGACTGAATCTTCGACGAGGTGATCTTGAAAAGCGTCTACAAAAAAATTCAAAGCAATTAATACTACAAAACGTAGCACACAGCCTAAGACAACTTAATTATTTCTCTTCAGAAGAGTTTAATCTTGTTTCTACTTGAAAAACCTTTAAATTGTTTCTTATTAACATATATGTTGATAATTTTCAAGCATATTTAGTTTTTTTTTAAGTTTTACGAAATCCGAAAAACACTATCCCCCAAAAATATTTTGACAAATAGAAATCAACTTTGAACTGTTTATCTGTAGGAAACAATTTTCGTAAGACTGAAATTCTTGGAGAAACTTTCAATACTCTCATATTTGATTCAAAGCTTACTAGGTAAAATAAATACAGAATAAATACCTTCTCGGAGATCTTGAATATCTTCTTCTTATTGGGCTGCGTCGCCTAGGGCTTCTTGATTGTCTTCTGATCGGCGATTTTTTACGCGGTGGTATTGAGGCACTGCTGGTTGAGCTACTAGAAGATGTACTCCTACTCTTTTTTGCCCGGTAATTTCTCTTTGCCTGAATGGAAGACATCGGTGGTGCTCTCTTTCTAGACGCATTTGAATTACTACTGGATGTTGATGATACAGACTTAGATCTCCTCTTTCTGACAGATTTACTAGCGGAAGAGGATGACGAAGAAGAACGACTAACACTCTTGCGAGGACGAGGTGGAAATTGCCTTCTTGGTGTTCTTGATCGCCTCCATCTTTTCGGCGAATAGCTTCGGCTAATGCGGCGTGGTCTTCCTCTAGGTGAGGGACGGCGACGTGGGCTGCGGCGTCTAATCCGAGGCGATCTTGATCGACGTCTGTACGATCGAGAACCAGATCTTCTTCTTAAAGATCTTGATCTAGATCGTCGTCTGCGCGATCTGGATCGTCTTCTGCGAGACCTGGACCTTGATCTGGATTTTCGTCTGTTTGACCTTGATCTTGATCTTCTTTTAGGGGACTTACTTCTGGAGCTCGATCTAGAGCGAGACTTTGCAGCTTCCGGTGACGTCGATTTTTTAATATCACTGGGTATTAAATCCGGTAAGTTCTCTTCTTTAATAACAGAACCTTTATTTGTTAACAATACTTTAGATATCTCTTCCTCTTTTGCCTTTAAGCTCTGACGAATCTTATCTTCTTCCTCTTGCCTTTTCAATAGTTCAATCTTCTTTTTCTCAACAAACTGTTCTGGAATGCCATTCGGAGACTCCATAGCTGTCAACATCAGGTCCCACAGTTCACTCATAAATATTCGAGCATTTCTTGCATTTAAAAATCCTGTTAGATTTATTTGCATGTCTTTTGCATCTGGATATCTGAAAATATTTTGATAGTTTCACAAAAGAAAGAATGTCTTCATAAATACCTATTTTCTTCCAATTGATTGATTGTTAGACCAACAACTACGTCATCCTCCATGCCAAGAATTTCCGTAACTTTATCGGTAATCCATGGTTTTATAGTGTCCAACTTTACCCGAACCATATCGACCTTCTTTTCGAGATTAGCAGCAAATTTCATTTGCTTCATAAGCTTCTTCTTCTTGTCCGAGAAACGATTGTCTTGATCAGCACTCGTTCCCTAAAATAAAACGAAACTTATTTTAAAATAAAATCACGACGGATCTTAACAATTTTTATGTGAGGTGCTTATTTTTGCATATTATCATACATTTGAATAATGCGACCAAAAGACGCTATAAAACTTTCGCTATTACACTTGTGATTTATGCTTTGAAATATCTTTCAAAGCTCATAGTCTAAAATCGATATTTTATCGTCCAAAAAACATACTTATTAATAAAAAAAGAGGTTATTTATACACAGTGTAACCGGAAAGCGAAGTATGAACGTTTAAGAAATTCAAAAAATTATCAGCTATGATATCTCAATTAGCATCAAAAAAACTCTTCATGTGAAGAATCATGATGCAAATAACCTTAAAGAAGCCAGCGTCCGTCATGATGAAAAATTAAGTACAATATTAATTTAAATGAGCAAATTATTCTTTAATTCAGCATGTTGTAATGCCGGAATGGCGTGTAAAACCTCAGGAAGATTCCTAAATGGTTAGTGTTCCGTCCTTGAAAGAGTTAGGAATATCGGGTTCGGAATTGTTTTCAATTAACAAATAGTCTCTAGCTTATCTTTACTCCTGCTGTATCCTTTATATAATTTTAGAGACTCTGATGGTTTAATTTACCCATATATATATATGATTTATCGAATTATATTTAATAAAAATTTAAGTTAATTTATGTATGTTATATCAATATATGAATTAATATAAGGCAAAACAACAGCACTTTTTGAGAACCATTTTCTTTATTTCCGGTGCACCTGACGGGCTTCTCAGACAATAAACATTAGCCCAAAGAAAGTAATACAAAAAGAAAGCAAGTTGTTAGGTCTAGCTATCTTTTGAAACTAATGAACATTGCTTTCTGAATTATTCACAATGATACTTTATAATTAATTGTAGAGCAATATTTTAAAAATTCGAAACTGGTTTGCGTGCAAGAAGTAAAAATAAAATAAAATAAAACTTATATCAAATTATTATTTATTTATATCATTTATTATATAATAGTATCCAATTTACTACATAGATCGATTAAATTATTCAAATTTGTACACCTAACAAGTCTTTATAATATTTTTAGATTCGATCTTAAAAAAGAATATTTTCCAAATAGTAGTTAATAGGTCGGATAATTGATTGCGACTCTATCTAATTACTCATGGAGAGTAGTGAAGCGCTTTCCAATATAATTTTTAGTACTTTTGGATAATATTTTATTATTTACTAACTAACTATGGTATGAAATTTTACTTTTATTACCCCATCCAAGAGGATACTTTTTTCCAATCTTTCTCAGACTAAGATCACAACGTTTAATCAATTTAATTCAATTTATAGATGAATCGGAGTAATAATAAAATTAATTTAAGTTACTTTATAAAATTATAGGTGTTATACAATGTATGTGCTAATACTATAGTCTAGTGATAAATTCAAGAATTTACAAATACATTTCGTTGTCTCAATATGTAACATAACGAAAATTTGGCAAATCCGAGAATTTCTAGGGTTCATCTTGATTTAAAGGAATAATATACAGTATATATATTTATATTTTAAATTTGACCTTGACCAAAACAATTTGCTAGGTATCCTGTTCCACGATATAGAGAAATTTATGTTTATTAGAGAGGAAGGGCTAACAATACTAAAAGATCTTAAGCATATCTGAAAAATGAAAAAAATTGAAATGAAGGAAATAATATTTGTGAGTTTAAGCAAGGAACCACTTAGTAGCAGTTATCGGTAAAGAATCAATTTTTTTACATAATTTATTAGATTTAGCTTTAGAACTGTGCGACCAACTTCCGCTATCGTTTTGTGAAACATCCTTTAAACATTCTAGCAGAAACTAAGAACCTCCTAGTTTAATAATGTCGCGACAGAGTGGGAGATCAAATGATCCTCGAAAAGTAGTAAGTGTCTTCAAAATATGTTGATAAATTGCCTCCAGTTATACATATGAGAAATATTTGAGCGAAAAAGGGCGTCATTACCGGTTGCCTAATCAATGTTTGTCTTTGAAAAACATTATTAATTTTTCAAACTGACAAAAGAAATTCATAGATACAATATATTTTCTTAATAATTATACATTATTCTATTGTTAAATCAAACTAAATACTTTAAGCAATGTCTTTTTAAATTGTATTATTAAAAGCATGTTATTTATTAGAGTGGGGAATTATTGACCCTTACCTACGGAGCTTTGGTTGCTCAGCTTGTTAAGGACAGCGAATCCGACGATGAAGTTAACAAACAATTGGATAAAATGTATATTATATAACATGTAATTATTATATACTTTATTAAACATAAGTACAATTTTTAAAGGGGCTATAATATAGGAATACGTTTAATAGAAGACTTTCTAGCCAGATCTAGTATAGGAAAGTGTAAAGACTTGAGAGAAACAGCTGAAATTATATCCAAGGTATGTAATTTTAAATGGCTTAATTGTCTTTTCTTTAAAATCTATCAATTTATCAGAATGGATTTAAAATGTTTTTGAACATAACTCCAATCGTTGCAAACTGGAATCAATCCGGAGACGAATTCTCTCTCATTATCGACAATAATCCTTTAACGGAATTTGCAGAATTACCTGATGAACATAAATCACTTTCGTATTGTAACATACTGTGTGGAGTAGTTAGAGGAGCTTTAGAAATGGTAAATAGCTATCATTAAAGTAGAGGTTAATGATTAATTTGCCTGCTTTAATTTACAAAGGTTCAGTTGGAAGTTGAAACGAAAATTGTTCAGGATCAATTAAAAGGTGACAACGTAACCGAATTGAAAGTAAAATATATAAGAAAAATAGAAGAGGCTGCGCCTGCCGGAGATGATTGAATGAAGAAATATTCCCAATAAACTCATTTCTTCACTTCATTTGGTGCATGGACTGATAGTAAAATGTTAAATAGTTTATGGTTATTTCAATAACTATTATATAACTTCTAATAACATCAAGAATACAGTAAATTTAGCTGACTAAATAGGGAGTTATTTGTTTGTATTACATATTCAAGTTTTAAACTTACAGTCAATTATTAAAGTTAAAACCTATAAAAACGTAGAAAAGCAATTTGACATACACATAATATGTATTATTATAGTTCAATTCATAAATTAATGTTATTTTCATTTTGTTTATTTATTAATATAGAAAGTATTAACTTACCATTTTTTCATTCAAAACATTTGTATATTTAAATAATTAATGTTACAAAAGAAAAACAAATAAACAAATAAAAACTATAAAAAACAACTAATATGATATTTTCCTCAAAGTGAATAAAATCACTTGAAAGATTTTTTAATGTTTTTGAATGAATGCATAGAGAGAGAGAGAGAGAGAGAGATTGTGAACATAGCTCTTTTCTATATCTAATATATGACTATGCTTAGCCAATTTTTACAATAATTAGTTTACGAGTAAAATCCAAGGATGCTTTATTAAAAATATAAACTAATACAGATATAGAACTGCATATAACTATGCTACACTTCCGATTTTAATACTTCTTTCATATTATGTATGATTAAAGATGAAACACGACTATGAGATATAGGATCTTTAAGCTCAATTTCGATTAAACGTAACAGGACTGTAAGATCATCAAACTTTTTATATTGTATAAGTTTCTCTTGTTTTGATGCGTTAAGAGCATTTTCTAAATTTTGAATTCTTTGTATTTGCTCTTCGATAATTTGATCTTTTTCCAGTTCTTTCTTTTTCTTTTGTAGACGACTTCTACGTACAGCTTCGTTATTTTTACGTCTAAGCTCGTAATGCTCTGGTGTATTTTTAGCTGGTAGATTACGTACTCGGCGTTTTATAGGTCTTGCTTTGGTTATATCTTCCAAATCGTCTGGGAAATAATTTGCCTATTAATATAAAATGTAGACGTTTAATATTCATAAAAAAAACCTTGATATTTTTTGGTAGGTTTTCTACGTCGTTTAGTACGAATTTCTGATGTTTGAAATTCTTCGTCAGCTGCATTTGGCTTTGATATGTCGGATACCGTAGTGTTCGTTGATTGAATAATAAACTTTCCCGATAGCATTTCCTAAGTACATAAATACAGATTATGTAATTAATTAACACTTGAGTATACTTACCGAATCATCTGTATCTTTAAATAAATCTGGGCTAACTACAAAGAGATCATTTGAATCTTCAAGTGATATAGCAGATTGATAAAAGTTGTCGGTAGCGTTAACAAACTCCATCGCAAGCTATATCTGTAGCGTTAAAATCATATTAGAACATTTATACGGCAAAACTTGGATTGAAAATGCGTACACTTTCTCACAGATACGATTAAATTTATCTGCAGTAGTATAAGCCAAGTTTGGATAGGATCGGCTTTACTACAGATTAAACGTCGCATAGATGTCGCTTATTGAGTATGGGTACCTATTCCACTCAATTATTATAATTAGTAACTTATTATAACTTTTTATTATACTCAGAGATGATAAGTAATACCTTTTACTCTAGTGTTTCATTAAAAGTGTTTTTATAGTAGTAGCAATTAGACACTACTACTACTATAAGTAGCTGATACAATAAAACGTTTCCTCAAATAACCAAATATTATGTAATTAAATAAATAATCCATATAGGCTTTTTTATCAGTTAGTATATAAACTTTTCTCTATTCTTTTATTAATATTATATATATAAATTCATACTAATATATAAATTCACAGAGCTTGAAAAGTTTTAAATACTATTTTGTCGAATATTTGATATCTAATGGAGATTTTAATGTAATAAACTTACCTTATAAAGTTGACCGCTATCCCCGGAAATATGGATATTTTTAGCGAAAATAAAGTATGCTTTTCAAATCAATGAAAATTAACAAGTAAGTTAAATTATTGTGAAATTTCCTCTTTCTTAAACGTATTTTAGTGTTTTTATTTACTTTATTGCATCTACTTTTCTAAGAAATACTTTTATAAGACGCGGAGCCCCGGACCACTTTAGATGTAACATACCCTTTCACTTGCTAGTCACACGTTTATGGCTACTGCCCATTTAAGAAATTGAAAACGAGGCTCTTCATTGCATCACGGTTTTGATAAAGTTAAATATACTAAAGGGTAAGCTATCCCCCCTCCTTTTTGATATATTCTAATGTATAAGAATTAAAATGTGTAAAACTCATGAAAAGCGAATTCCTGAAGTTAATAACTTAATTACTGTTGAAAGTAATAAAACATGTGACTTTTTTCAGCCACTCAAAGCATGCTTTCCCTATGGAAATCCATACTACAATAATTAGTTATTATACAAAATGCACGACTTACCTTGTAATTTCCTCTTTTCAGCTATCAAAAATATAAGTAAAGAAAAATTAAAAATTTCCTAAAATGGGGTTACCTACAATCTTACCTGTTGAAATTTTAAAAGTACGTACAGAGTATAAATTTCATTTGATAGACGTCTAAATTATTTTAAAATTACTTATTAGACTAATTCACCATCTAAATTCGAGATACGTCTACTTTATGATCCGAAGAGACGTGATAGTGCTGCGGCCTTTCATAAACTAAAAAAAGAAATGGATAGATACTACTCAAAACCTGAAAATGATATCGTGTTAAAAAGAGAGGATATTAATAAACATTCAGTTTGTATATTTCTTATATATTAGAAAATATTAGCTAATTTGAAAAGAAAAGGTATTATATTAAAATCATGTTGCAGAACTTTGCAGCTTTTAGTAAGCAAAGAGGGGAATGGGTAAGACTTGCAAGAGTCTGCTGCTTCTCGGAAGGGAATTATGGAATACAGAGTTCTATTCAAATTTTGTATGTATTTGTTCCTTTATAGATAAATTATGATAATAATTTCATTTTATTCTCCAGATGTGCATCGCATGACTATAGTTTTGTGAGAAAGATACCATTAACAACGTATGCTATCCTATTTACGTAACTATTTCATACTGTATACCTGGTAGAAACTTATTAACAGATTAAGAATATTACCGAAAAAGTTTCTTAAAGTACCGCAGCAAAGTAGATGTTGTAGCCTTTATAAATTAGCGCCACTGGAATTGACCAGAGATCAAGAGAGTTCACTATTTATAACAAAGTAAGTTGAAATTTAAGAATCTTTATTGGCTATTCCAAAAAATTCTAATTATTTCTGATTTATGAAGAAAAGTAGAAAATTGGACATTTTCAGCGAAAAACGCTTTCGAAAGAATGCTGGGTAAACTTTCAATAAAATTCAATATTTATTCATTAATTTCTAATTCGATTTTGCCTTATTTAAAAGATAAGGAACACACTTTTTTTGTACATTTTATTGACGTATCCGACGTTAATAATCAGAAAGTTAGACTTTTCTTCCAACAAGATTCTGATAATCCAGAAATATTGGAAGCCAGCGAAGAACTAGTCAAAGCGGGATATGGAATATATGAAGATGATTATGAAGGTTATTTTCATGAAATATTTACCATTCGTTTGAGAAATTTCAGTATTTCTTTCATAATTTTTTAGCTGAAGATTACACTGAATATATTAAAAATATAATTCTACCTGTAATGAATAATTCAACATCTTCCGACGCATCCAAAGATGAAAGTGTCATTCCAAAGCCAAAATCAGTTAATAAGCTTCTTCGAAAAGTTGCAAGAAATGAGGAAAATGAAAATTTTATTACAAAGACAAAGAGGAAGGATGATCAGGGACTCCTCTACGATCTTGATTATCAAATTAAAGAGGAGTTGGATAGAATATCACAAAAACAAAGAGAACGTTCTAAAGCTGCGAGTAGTAGAAATTCAAACTATACCAAAGTAGACGTTGAAGACTTTTTAAGAAAGAACCAAACAAATAGACCTTATTTTCTACCTCCTGCTAAAAGTACTATCCAATTATCTAAAGATAAAAGAAATAAGGAAAAAAGATTATCTTCTGGTGAGAAGAAAGACGAGAATAAAGAAGATGATGTTGCAAAAGATGTTAATAATGGGATTAACAATGGCAACGCGAATGAAGAAACATCTAAACCTAAAACTGAACAGGCCAAAGCTGATCGGATTGAAACTGAAAAAACTAAAAGTGACCAAGAAGAAATGGAGAAGTCGGAAACAGACAAAGGTCAAGGTCAAATTGACAAATCTGAAACTGTCAAAGACGAAACTAACAAGACTAAAACTGAAAAAGATAAAAAGTCTCCTACTAAAACTATCAAAGTCAAAGCTGTTAAAAAAAAGAAAAATGATAAAGTTGCGACAGAAAGGAACGAAATTGTTAGAGTCATACCTAAACAACGAGCTGCTCCAATTCCTAATCCAACAACTTTCGATTTCATTTTAAAAGAAAAACTGAAAAAATATAATTACACTTGCGAAACGACAGAGGAAGAAAACAAGAAACATTCCAGCTTTGTTAATACTGAAAAACCTAAAGAAAATTCCGATAACTGTCACGAAATATTGGATGATTCTGCCAAAATTGAAATATCCATTACTTCACCTGATGAAACAAGTAATTCCAGGTCAATCGCAAAGGGTACTGAATCTGTCAAGAAACCCTTAGCGAAAATTGGCTCTCCTCCATATCTACCGAATGGTCATAGTACTCCGATTCAAGCTGATGAAAAGCTGTTCTCATTCATCAGTGATGCTACTTTAGGCGAATCTGATTCTGATATAACTAATGATGATCGTAAGTGTGTATTATCAGACGATGAAAGTAGTGACGCCTCCCTTGATAATATGGTATATGGAAAAAAAGGAAGAACATTCACTGCCCAGAAAAAGCTGGTTAATGGTATCAAAAATACTAATGGTCCAAACTATTCTGATCGTTATCTATTGAAAACAAAAACTCTACCTTCTATAAAAACTGTAAGTGCTAGAAATGCCTGCCAACTGAATAATGAGACAGTTGTACCAATTAAACTAGTTCCTGACCGCGAAAACAAAATCGGGGACAAAATTGTGAGAAAATTAAAAAGAGATACTGTAGTAACAGATCGGTTTGAATCTCATATTAATGAAAATAATCGGGTGAAGGTTTCAAAATCTGTAAAAGAGAAATTAACTTCTCCCCAAAAAGTCTCTTCCAAAGAGAATGACTCCGAACAGTTTAATTTAAAACCTAAGATAAGGAAATCCATTGAGAAATCCCCTTCGAAAAAGTCAAAAGAAGAAGTTCAATGTGAATCTCATATGAAAAAATCTTTTGAAGATAATTCAACAAACAATTCACCTTCGAAAAAGATTGATAAACCAAAATATCAATCGAAGACCGAAAGAATTTCGGAAAATGGAACAACGAAGAATGCTGGATCTTTTTATACTGATGAAAATGCAGACAGAATTACTGAAATCAATATATTAAATTGGAAAAAGGACAAACTAGCTAAAAATGATAATATGAAAAAAACTCCTAAAAACGGAACTCAGAAGTCCAAATTTGTAAGGACTAGAGTCAAAGAATCAAAAGACAATCTTCTAACAAAACAGCCCTCTTCTCCAAAGAAAGATGAAAACAATAATACCGAGTTGAAAATAGAAACTTTACCGAACTATCTGAATGAAAGTTTCACCGTTCTCGGCAATAAAAAATACCTTATCAATACTAGTCCTATTAGAATGACTCCTACTTCAAAATCGGCTACAAAGGCAAAGGAGTCTATTGAAAAAAAGAGTCCTAAACAGACAGGGGACTTAGACGACCCTGTAAACAATGAGTTAAAACGAATTAAAAAAATTATTGTTAAAAAGACGAAGCAGAAGAAAATTGAACTGGAAAACACTGAAATCGATATAAAAGAATCTGTTAATAATTCTTCTCCTAAGAGAATATTCCAGTTGACTAATCCATTGAAAAGCTTAAAACCAAGAAAAATATCATCGGGGTTGTCAATTTATAATGAAGACTCTTCAAAAATTACAACTGAACAGACGACAGAGAAATGTATTTATAAGAAAGAGCAAATCTCAGAAAATGGTACTCTTCAACTATCAACGCGGAATTGTGAGACCAAATTTAAAACGAAAAAGATTAAACAAAATCAGGTATCTGAAGAAGTTACGCAACCTCACGAAGACCATGGCAGCGTAGTAACTGAAAGAAAAAGAACAAATACGAACCTCTTGAACTCTGTTAATGAAATGAAGACTATGATTGAGAATCTCAAAAAGGACACTTCATCTACGAGCTCTTTAACAAACCCAAAAAACAAAACAGAATCAAAGAAAATAAACAATGAAAATTTGTCTTCGAAAGATGTAAATTCCTCAAATGTTGTAACTACGGATAAAGAAAAAGAAGTTTCGAAGAAGTTAAAAGAAAGAAAGTCAGTTTCAAAAAAAAGTTCATCAATCATAGATGATGTTGATAAAGGGAAGAAACAGAAAGATGACGAAATAGTTGAAAACGAAGAAAAGAGAGACATTGTAGCTTCTAAATCTAAAATAGAATTAAATAGAGAATGCAACACTATAACAAATATGGCTAAGAAACCCGGGAAGATTATAAGAATTAAGATAAAGCGTAAAAGGACCAAATCGAACAGTTTGATTAACGATGAAAATAAAAATGATGAAGTAGATAAGGAAAAGATGGACACAATCCAAGGAGAATCATTAAAAAGAGAGAATCACATCGAAGTCTTAGAAATTAATAAAATTAATCAAGAGTGTGAAAAAAAAGTAGCTGATTCTCATGCTGACAACGACAATTGCAACTCTATAAAAGATGAAAATGCGACGACTAATATAACAGAATCGCTTGTAAACAATGTACAAAAAGACGAGCATAAACTCGTCGAACAAGCGGATGTAACTGTTAATGAAAGAAGGCAGAAAGCTCTTTTCAATGCTATATTAGAATTTCTTAATAATGAAAAAGAAAAGAAACTTCAAAAATCTACGAGTGCCCTAGAAACTAAATTCGCCCCTGATGTACAGGAAAATTCTCAAAAGAATTGTAATGGCAATGGAAAAAGCATGGAAGAATCTCTTGCCGAAAATTTGACAAAAATATGTTGTTATTCATTGGAAAAAATTTCGGAAGAGTCAAAAGATCATGAGAAAAGTACTACTAAAGTTTTATTAGACAAATCTACTGATACAACCGACTTGGAAGAAACAATGTCAAAGCTCGAAAACGATAATACGGATTTAGATTTTGATAGTAAATTATTTGAAGAAACGTTAGAAAATGAAGAGCCAGTCGTATTTAGAGAGAGAGAAGTTTGTTTAAATTTGATAGAAAATGATTGTATTAAAACTTTGCACACTCTTGAAAGATCGCCTTTAAAAATGCCTTCGTCTGCTGCTCCATCCCTTTTTGATGATAATGTCATAATTAAGTTTTCTAACTTGAATATTAAGAGTCGATATAGACGAGAAAAAAGGTCCCGGCGACTATCACTGAAAGAACACAATAAGAAAATAAGAAACATGCTATTTGGTAAAGGAGTAATACCGTATGGTAGAGAATTAGCAGAGCCGTTTGTCTCTGCATCATCTTCCAGAGAAATACGGCTACTGGCTATGTTAGGAAGAAATGGAGAAATATCGTTCAGTGAATCTGTTGCTTGGCCACTCTTGCTTGGTTCTAGCTCTGTATTTATGGTAACCCCTCACAGGCGAAGCAAGGATAATATTGACATGACGTTCATTATTCCAATCGTGAGGAAACTATCAGAAATTAAGTTCAAGTCATCGTCACCCGTCTTCATCGTCATCAGCCAGACATGGCAGTGCGTCGAAAGTATAACTTCCGCCCTTAGGATTCTTACGACAGAAAATACTCTACATGCACCAAAAATTGTTGCAGCCTGCGGAAACGGTATTTCTAATGATATAGATGTATTATTATTAAACGGCTGTGACGTTTTAGTTTGCACCGCAAGTATTTTTCAATTGGCCATTGAAAAGAAAAGCATTCGACTTGACAAAACTCAGTTTTTGTGCATTCACAACGCTCACTTGGTATTACAACTCTACAAGAGTTCGCTGGAAGTTTTCATGAAAAATTGGTCGTTTGTCCTCGAGAAAAATGAATCAATGATACCTCAAATTGCCCTTATAACAGATCTTTTAACGGAAGAAGTAGTTTGCTTCTTTAATACCTATATGAAAACCCTAAAGACGCATATTTTCATTTGCAATCCGACCGTAGCCGCCGTGTATGCTCCTCTTGAATATTTTTTTGACTGTTGTGATGACGAGAGGGAAATCTTCACAAAAATTGGGAAAATACTCTTAAAAGTACCGAATAAGAGAGCGGTGATCTATGCAGATTCGATAAAACAAGCCGACTTTTTAGCATCAGTTCTAAATTCCAAATTTTCATTACAAAGTAAAATTTTAAACGAAGGAGTCATAAAATCTTGTCTAAACGAAAAAAACGATTCCGATACCAGTGAAAAAATATTCGTAACGATTCGTGGAAATTCGATACCTTTCTACAATGCGCAAATCTTAGTTTTTACTTATATGCCCAAGCAAAAGGAAATGTACGAAACGCTTACTTTGATTTATGAAGCTTTAGCTAAAAAAATAGTAAAAAAGATTACATATGATCCTGAAGTTTCCCAAACTACGGATCCATCAATGTATGTTTTTACCAGAGAAGAGTGTATGCTTCAGCTACCAACTGTTGAAAAGGTTATGAAAGCTTTTAATACTGAACCACCTCCAAAATTTCTGAAATGGAAGAGTAAACATTTCCCACATAGTCCTGAAACAGAAAAAGATGGAAACGAGTTGTGCCATATTTTACTTTCATATGGAAAATGTTACAAATTTGAAAAATGCGGCTGGAGGCATAAAATAGTTGTTCAGAAGGATATACCCACCCCGACTATGTATCAATCGAATTTCCATGTTTCTGGTAAGATAAGGCTGATTATTGTACATCTCCAAAACGCAATATCTTACTATGCTAGAATTTTATCATACGAAAACGAAAAAGGAGATGTATACAGCCTTCACAAAGAGTTTTATCAGCTGAAAGTTTCGCTTAATAACTATTTTAAAGAAGAAAGCAATAGAATTCCTTTAAAGACTTGCTGTCAAGAAAAAACTTGTACGTCAGCTTGTGTTCAAGAAGGCGATTTGGCCGCACTTAAATTGGAGAATGAAACCTTTGTTAGAGTTAGAGTAGAAGAAGTTCAAGCTTTACAGGAGGAATGGAAAAAAGGCTTAATAAGAGTTCATTTAGTTGATATTGGAAGTTATAAAGAGGTACATTCTAGTGAACTTTTACAGCTTCCACCGTCATTAGGCATAATACCCCCTCAACTAATGAAAGTTCGTTTGGCAAGAGTTCGACCCATTGATGATTTTATACAATGGCCAGATAATGTTACAGAATTTGTCACAGGAGAAGTCTTGAATAAAACTATGAGTGCACAAGTGTTAATTATTACATGTGACACTTTAGTCGTTGATCATTTACGAGTGGAGGTAGATCTTAAAACGATGGGAACAACTACTCCCTACGATACAATAAGAAGAAAGTTGTTGGATATGAATATGGCTATGAGCAATCCACTTCATGTAACAAACTTATTTAGACTGTTTTCGAAGCATATTGATACATGCAGCTACGGGTATACTGTTCATGGTGAAGCTGTCAAATTAAGACAATCCTCTTTAAAAGTTGGCGATGTTGTTAGGATAGTATCAGCGATAAGTCCTGTAAATTTCTTTACTAGGATTGTGGGTAGCGAAACGAAATCATTAGATGATTTCTTGGAGAAAGATGATAAGGATTCATTACCTATTGAGGTAGATTGGGATGCTCCAACTTATGTTCTAGCTAAATGGAATAATCGTTGGTTAAGAGCTAGAGTTTTAGAAAGATATGATAGAACTTTTAAAGTTCTATTTATTGACAATGCAGAATGCTGCGAGGTTTTTAAATCTGACATAAAATGCTTAAAAGCTAAACATCTCAAGAAACCTTTCGGAGCAATTCATTGCATCCTAGGTAATATTTTATGCAATAGAGAAAGTAAAGAAAGAGTGATTGAATTCTTAAAAATAACTATGAATCTCAAATTCGAAGTTACCCGATTAGCTTGCAATAAAAGAAAATCGATTTACGAAGTTAATCTAGTAAATACTGATAATAAATTAAAGAAATTTGACTTAAGTTGTCATTTACAAGCCAACAATTTTGGAACTTTAGATAAGAGAACTTTTGACAGTTGGTTTACCGTTCATTTAGAGCAGGTACACGAAAAATGCCATGAAAAATTAAGATTATTTTGCGGAGAAGTGATCTATAATACTTTGAATGGAGCAATGGAACAATTTCAATTAGAAGATAATTTAGATAATCTTATCACGTGCTCCACTATTAGATGTATTAAGCTTTCAATAGATTTCTTCGCAAAGGCAGTTATACTATCAAAAAGACACGATGAACGTATTAGACTTCTCGATTTATTTGTGAATTGGATAACGAAATACAATGGGAAGAGATGGAAGCTCTTCAAAGAAGTAAATGGATTACGATATATTAGCCATTTGAACCAACTATGGCCGAATTTGTGTAAAACCACTATTCTTAATCTATCAAAATATCAAGGATACAACGAAGTGATCTTTGAAGATAAGCAATTTTTCTCAACAATAAGATCAATTTTTAGACTAGATTATATGGAGGAGGAGGGTCAATACGATTTTTGTAAATTCTTTCGAACTTTAATGAGTCATGACAACATAACATCTGAGTGAGTATTATTAAAACAATGAATTAATTAATTATTTAAATTAGCATCTAATTAGAATATTTTACTCATTCAGCTCAATAAAGAAAGTATACCATATCGGATATATTGGAACAATCTTAGATCTTCTAAAAGTAAGAGTAATAGAAAAGAAAGTCAGAATATACGCACTGAAGATTTTACATTATATCTTTCAAAAGTTTCCCGATTCTATACCATTTTTAGCTTCCGTATCGACATCAACTCTCTCTGAACTTTTATTAGAAACCAGTAACAGCGTTATTATCCCACTCGTAGTACGAATATTCCTACTGATAGAACATAGCGAATTTTCTAAATGGTCAACAGAGCATAAACATCGTATTATTTTTAAAATTCATGATGAAATTGATAAAATATCAAAAGAAAAGGATAAAGCTATTTTAGAGACATTTATGTCAATAATAAAACCACCAGCAATGAAGAAAAATGTCGATAATGAAGAACCTAAACTGTTAGAAAAACTTCCTAAAGTTGTTAAAAAGGAGAAACCAAATTCTATAGTTCAAAATAATCGTGGAAAAATTTTTTGTAGAGTTAATTGGTCACAAAGCAAGCATTGGCTGTGCGTTAAATTAATAATAGACGATTACGAGGATGGAGAGACAAATGTTACCATAAACGGTGAACTTTTAAATATAGAGATTGTGTGTCAGAATAGCATTTATAAAGAAGAGTTTGAATTATATCGTGAAGTTAAAAATGCCTATTTTACCTGTTTAAAGCCTAGATTTGTAAGTATAGATTTATTAATATAGTAAGATAATTAAAATGACGTTCGATTGTTTTAAGCTCTTACTAAGCGTTCATAAAAAGCTTGGATTGAAATGGCCTCAGTTTCTAAGTAAGGGTAAACTGGAATGGATAAAAGGCGATTTATTTAGTATAATGGATTCGGATAATGAATACTGGTCTGACGAAGATGAAAATCCAATTCTTAAGAAATTACCATCAATTTGGAGAATGAGCGAAAGTATACCTATGAAAATAATTAAGACTCAAATGGATGATCTACCAGATTATTCTGATACATCTCAATCGGACTTAAGCGAAATTGAAAGTGTAATATTAGACTAGAAGCAAAAATTTGGCCTATCAGGTGAGTACATGTCTACAAATTATTTTTCTCTTGTTATCCTTTAATTAAGTGAACATTTTATTATTTAACAACTAGCTGTAGCATATTTATGATTAAACAAACAATATATTTATATTTCTAAAGAGAGTTAAATTTGTTTGCAAGTACATTTTTTGTATTTGTATTAGCCAAATATATAATAATATTAGCAAAAATAGATATATATATATATATATATATTGTATATTTATTATAATATATGATTGTAGAAAAGATATTTTTGACATAAATGCAGAACTATTCAAAGATTATTGAATTTACTCTTTAATTCAACTAATTTTGTACAACTACCACATATTTTAATAACGCTTTCCAAAATATCTACTCTTCTACGAAGTCTTATAATTTCTTCGTCCTTCTCTTGCTCTTGAACTTTCTTTTTCATTCTTGATCTTCTTACCGAATCGTTATTCTTCTTCCTCTCTAGAATATATTCGGGTGTTCCTTTACAAGCTCTCTTTCTTTGACGTTTCCTTTTGGTTGTAGATTTTTTTATTGCTTCCTTTATCTCTTCAACTTTTATTTCGACAACGTCTTCATTCTCTTCTTCTTCTTCGTCCTCTTCTTCCTCCACCGCTTCTTGTTTCATATTGTCTATTTGATCCACGTCCAGAGGTGATAAACTAATGTCTGTTAAAAAGTCGGAGTCGATAATTTCATCATCAGACAGTTCGAAGCATCCCGGACCAAAGTCGGGAAGAGAATAAATATCAACAATATCAGCTATAACGCTATTCATGCTGAATCTTTCTACTTTTCCTCCAATTAGTGCTAATCAAGTCAGGAACAAAGTGATATAATGAAGTTGACTTTATTTCATTTACTTTTTATACGATTGGTCGCCATTTTTGTCTCGAACAGATAATAGCCAATTAGCGTTAGAGGTGGGCGGAGCTAAAAGTTTCTGCCCTACTTGAAACGTCCGATATGTCAACCATAATGTCTGGATTTTCAGTGAAACAGCTAGCAATTTACTACTCAACTACTGCTTGTTAATTATAACTAACTACTCACAACTAAAGTGTTGTTCTTTTATTTTCTAAACTTAAGTTTTTACTGGGAGAGAGTGTTTTATCACTATGTTATCAGTAAAATCAAAATTATCAGTATACCCTATTCCTGAGCATTCCTTTATCTCGTGCCATTAATTTATTACATAATTAACAAGAGCTTGTAAATTGAACAATTTCAGCAAAAATCAGTAGTTTAGCCTGTAGTAGTCGTAACTGGCATGTAACCACCGACAAACCATATCGTATCGTATCAAGTTACAAACTTTTTTCTCACACGACTTTTTAAGTGAGTACGAAAGTGGGTTACATTTTTTTCCCGATAGAAAACTTAATGTAGTATTGAAATTATAGCGCATAGTAAACAAACATAAAATACACTGTATTACTTTGTTCAAGGTTTCATTAGTTAAATAGATTAATAAATAATATAGAGGAATAAGTAAAAAATTATTTGATTGTTCAATTCGTTGTCTTTTTTATTGGTTTTTGTAAATATGCTCAAGAAGCAAGGCCTTCAAAAAAAAATAATACTAGTATATAATAAAATTGCACTGCAAAAAATAATACAGCATGCAAGTTTATACTTAAACTTTGATAAAACTCTGTACAAAAACAATATCTTTGACTATATTTCGTTAATTAATGCTCTTCAGTTACTAAACCCATTAAATGTCCTATATAAACGAGTTGTAACAAATAACACATAACAGGAACATATTTGTTCAAGTCAACAATAAATATAACATGTAAAAAAAAAATAGGATAAAAGCAATTAAACATATAATAATTTCTCAAACAACAATAACCTACATCAGCTGCCTCACGAAAGAGTTCAACAACAAGATATACTTCATTCTAAGTCAAATAAACAGTAGTTTCGGCAAATTAAGTTGAAATGTGGAGACGAGAAAATGATACTTTTAGATTCTTACAAGATAATGAATTTTAATTTTTTAAAACATCTTCGCACTACCAATGCCTTTGGTCGTTTCCGCCCATTGCTGCTCCCATTCCTCTTCCGTAGGGATGTTGCCTTATCATTCCTTTTCCTCTACACGGAGCCCCACCGTATTTTCCTGCAGCGTCATAATCACCGCCTGGAAAATTTAGGAATTTACTTAACATGAATATGTAGCAATACTGGAGACTGTAGAAGCTTTGATGCTCTTACAGCACTATGAGACCGCTTTATTTATATAAGGCTAAACTGATACGAGCACGATTATGAAAGAGTAAAACACTCTATTCATAATCGACGTCCATAAATTTATTAATAGACAACTCTATTATCAATAAAGCCTAGCTCTTTTCAAAATTAATTCTATCTTTCTTACCTGGACCTGGATTTGGGCCAGGGCCAGGGGCTGGTCCTGGACCCTGCATTCCTGCACCGCCACCGCCTCTACCAAAATTTTGTCGATTATCATAACCATAGTTCCTGGTAAGATTAGAAGATTTCAGTTTTGAATTGAACTCAATTTCAAATCAACTTACATGCCATATTCTTCGTTGGGCTCTGAGTTATTTGGTCCATAATTCGAATTATTATTACCATAAGTATTTTGACTATAGCTAGCTTGTCCACGGTAATCTTCTTCGTGATTATACTGCTCTTCGTATGGATATGCCTAAAAATGTAACTAATGGATACTTTGTTCAAACTCAGTTATGTTTTACCTACATTTTGTGGTTGTCCGTAGGGCTCCCTAATCTGCGGCGGCATATGCCTTGGTGGAGGACACGGTTTCTCCATTCTAGGAATTGGTGGCGGGTGTTGAATTGGTTGGTGCCCTCCTCTTCCAGGGTGCATTCTTTGTTGTCCTCCTCGACCAAAAGGGGGATGATGTGGAGGAGGCGGGTGGTGATGATGATGATGAGGATGACCGCCGCCGCCGCCGCCGCCACCGCCACCACCTCCAACACCTCCTCCTCCACCACCGCCACCTCTAACAGGTTGAGGCGAACCGCGTCCTCGCCCTCTGGATGGAGGAGTTTTCATTGTTTTAAGTTCTTGTAATTGTTCGGCTAAAATTCCATCTTCATTTGACTGCAGAGTAAAAAAATAGTTAGCACTATAGAAAGAAATAATTATGTGAGTAATGCCATACAGGGTTAATATATTTTCTCATTTCTGCTAATGCGGAAGCGAATCTATTGAAAGCATCTTCAGGCGCCGCTGTTGTTGACTCGAGGAACACATGTAATGGACCATTGAAATGAGCATGGCCACCCCCTTCTTTTGCAAGCTCCATCTCTCTGTCTTTATTTCGTGTCGAACCTTTTCCGAGAATGTGTACTTTGCAACCAGATTCAGTAGAAATTTTTTTTAACGTATTTCCTCCAGGACCAAATAATTTTCCCAAAAAGTTGAACTGAATAGTAATATTATCAATTTACTCAATAATAAAATTAAAAAAATCCAATCGATCACTACAGAATCTTAGCGGCTTCAGACTGAATTTTATTATAATTTTTACAGTAAGTTTAGAATTATTTAATGTTAAAAGGTGGATATTTTCAATTTTAAATGTATTTAAATTATTAGTTTGATTAATTTGGAAATATTTAGTAGTTAAGATATATCTGTTTAGGGAATTTTAATTAAATTATTTAAAAATTTAAGCCAGTCTGATAGATATGTAATATGATATTTTGGTCACTCTTTACATGGTTTCTGTAAAGTATTCGTTTATTTTCAATGACGATACATTTATTATAGCTTTTACAACTAGTTTGATAATGATTATTCATACGATAAATAGTCTACAATTTTACTTTAACATACCTGTGGATATTGGTCAGCTGGAATAGCTACACGAGCTACGTAACGAGTCAAATCATTGTGATGTACTTCAAGAAATTCGTTATAAAATTTCAAGCCACTGCGTAGTTTTTTAATCTCTGTATTTAATTGGAGTAGATATATGCATAACTTAATGAGACATCTTTCCAAAGTTTTTATTTATTCTATATCAAAAAAGTTATTTCCTTGGCTGTATAGGTTTTTATTAGTATTTCTTCCGTTATGTTAGACGTACAGTTAACTATTTTATCTTCTTAAGATGCAAGATTAATTGATATGAGGAGTTCTCTTTGTCAAATTACCAGACAAGTAAAAATAATTTTTAGGTTTAGACTTTATCATTCAATTTAATAGCAATTAAAATATGCTTTATAATTTTAATTGAATATTTGCAATTTTAAGATACAACAGGAAGGATTCTCGATAATTAGAAATTTAAAACCCGGGATAATTCTATGACCTAACAATCTGACCTAAAAACGAGCTAGCATTACCTTCTTCAATACATTGCTTTATATTCGGAACTTGGTCTTCTGAAAGATGTTTGAGTTCCTCTTCCAGCTCAGTTGCCTTTTTGTCATATTCTGCCTGAGGAACTTGATTTTTTAACGGTTTCGGGGATTTGTCGGCACGGTTCATCGCCATCTTGAAAGAATACTTAGTCTGGATCTACTGCCATCTAGCGGTCGTAACTTTAGTCACGTGCCTTTGCTTTGAATCCCTTGGAAGACTAGAGATATTAACACATTGTTTTGTACCTTCCTCGATACTGATTCTCACAAACTGCATCTCGTCCTTTAATTATTTTGCAGAAAATTTTTGTCATTTTACAGAAGATATCAAAATATGACCACGTGCAATCCAGTAAAACCACAATTTTTTTACTTTATTAACATCTTTAAACGTACCTTCACTTATTTCCCGCATCTTTCTTTAGTTAAAACCACTTTGTAATGTTAGGTCGGCCTCAACACACGAATTTGTAAAGTTTATACTAGAAATACAAGACAAGTTGCTATCTGAAAGAGAAACGGGTGCGAAAGGACCGTAGTGTTTTACCAATTTATATTGTGACGAAATATATTTGTGATCACTCAAAAATATTTATAAATAAGCCTTTAAAATATAAAGAAAAAATAGACATTTTAAATAAGAATGATTCCAGTGAAAGATTTAACGTCGCTATTCGAAGCAACTGTGAAAACAGTAAAAACTCGTAGAAAATTAAATTCAGAGGGCGATAAAACAAACATTTTCCCAAGAAAAAAGCAGCTGTCCGAATTTTCGATCAAAGCAAAAAGTGTCGTACGTAAATGAACGTCTATAAATATTAATAATTATACTACCTCATAATTAATCAGGTTAAGGGCATAAGTGAACTTCAAAACTTCCTGCAAAGTCATAGGGAAGACTACACAGCTGCCGGAAATCTTTTAAAAGAGACGTCATGTAAAATGACTGAAGAAGAAAGGAATCAGATTGATTTAGATGCCCAAAAATACATTATAACTTGTAAAGAAACAATTAAAACACTAGAAACTTATGGTACGATTATAAAATATTCTAATTGCTAATGCTAAGCTTTTATTTCTATTGTTTATTAAGTTGAAAAGATGGTTGTAAGCGACCAAGCAAAAGAACATTATACAGCTGTTATTGAAATTATCGAAGAATATTTGAAATGTTAGTATGAATTAATTAAAATTTTCTTCAAAAACTAACTTTTGTTTATATTTAAAGCTGTTTGCAATATGTATAGTTCTCAAAGAGCTGTTAGATTAAAGAAAATGATTGATAAAAAACAAGTGTAAGGCAGTATTTATTTCATAAATAAGAAGTAATTTATTTTTGATAACTTTATGTTTCTAGCTCAAGACTGAAACCTTCACAACCAAGAATTAAAAGTAGTCCTCCATATATTAACAAAGGTGGTAGAATTATAAGTAGTATTAACAATTCATATAAATTTGTAAGAATTTTTTCTTCCAGAAGGAAAAAATGTGGAAAAGCCTGATGAAAATTTAACTAATAAGAAATCTGATAAAAATAACCAAATAAAAAATACCCGTTCATTTTTACTTGACGATGATGACATATTGGCTCCTGACGAAGAAGATTTAGTATAAAATTAATAACTGTTCATTACTCTATTCATTATTCTGATAAGTTTACTCTAATTTTAACAGCTAAAACAAGAAAATGTTCACCTGTTGCAAGATATGAATTCATTGGGAGAAGAAGTAAAAAACATAGAAGGTCAAGTTGTGGAAATATCTAGATTACAAGCTATTTTTACAGAAAAGATTTTGGAACAAGAACAAATTGTCAACCATACAAGCGATAATGTTATCGGATCTAGCGAAAATATAAAAGACGCTAATGACGAAATCCGACAAGTAATTTAACTTGTTTCTTAAATAATCTTAATTATTCTCTATTATATTAAATAGGCTATGAAAAATAACGCTGGTTTAAGAGTTTGGATCCTGTTCTTCTTAATCGTATCTGCATTCTCCTTACTTTTTTTGGACTGGTATAATCCTTAAATCTGGCAGAAAATTACAAAGATTTACAGTCTTGAACGAAATCAATTTTGTTGGAAATATTTCTTGTGCTATATAAAAAAAAACTTAAAAAAACATTTGTTGATATCAAGCTCTGTATTTCTTGAATGGAAATATTAAAATACATAATTATATAAAAAACTTTATGATACTTTGAATTAAAAAACTCATTTTAGGCGCTAATATGGAAATATCATTGACTTGGTAATAATGTATTTTATAATTTAGTGCTATCTAAAACTTGCTTTGTTTGCTCCTTTTTTTTAAAATCCATAATATAAGATGAAAAATTGAGGATATTATAAACATAACACCAGCTAAAAATAAGCTAAATGATGCATCATTAAACAGATCATAAAGTAATCCGTTTATACTTAAAACACTTGATATAGCTATTCCCACTAAGACCAAAATCCAAGCCAATGCTTGAGCACTGTGATCTAAATCAACTACAATCAGTACGACAGGACTTAGCATAGAGATGTAGATAGCTGAAAAGTAAAAAAAAATGATGACAACAGGCAATGATGCTTAAAATATTTAGATTACCGGAAAAAACCCCGTGGAGGGCTGAGTAAATAGAAAATGCTGTATAAGTTTTGTAAAATATTGTACAAATAGTCAATATTCCTAGAATAAAATTGCTCATCATTGTCATAAATATTTTATCAAAATATTTTAAATCGGCTATTGAACCAATAATAATTCTAACTATTCCGCCCACTATACCAGATATACCGAGGACAAATGCAGATTCTAGATTGGAGAAACCAAGGTCAGCTATCTTCCTTGGGAGCATCGTTTGCGGTGTACAATGCCCATAGTAGGAAAAAAAATTTCCAAAGGCGAATAATATAAAAAGTTTATTTTTGAGTAAGTCCTTATTTGCAAGTTTTTTTATCACAATACTTAAAGGATTTTTAGTATTTTCAACTCGTTCTTGCTTAATTGTAATACTTGTAGGTGAATGTAATAGAGCAGATAATACTATCGCATTCAACAAACACCCTCCTATAAGTAATATCCCTCCTCTCCATCCATAAGTATCAGTCAAATATGCTGCAAAAGGGCTCCAAAAGAAAAGTCCCAAACTTTGACCAGATGCAACACAGCCCAAGGCCAGCGATCGATATTTAAGAAACCAGTATGAAACTACTGTGGCAGGACAAACAAAAAAACAGGCAAGGCCAATCCCTTGAATAATTCCCAGGGTAAGTAGTATAAGTGGAATTTCAGGGATAAATGCTGTTAGAATATAGCTTAATGCTTTTATAAACGAAGCTACTATCATAACTTTTCGACAGCCATATGCTGATATAAAAGGTCCTGTAAAGAGGCTTGTAATTGTAAATGACACAAAAGCAAGATTCCCATACAGAGATATAAAGCCTGTTGAATAGTCAGTCGCATCAACAATATTTACAATTAAAATCCCATAGGTTCCAATAGTTGCCATAGCTAAACACTGAAGAACTATACAAAGACATAATATTATCCAAGCGTATCCTTTATCGATTTGTTCGGAATTACTTTTGGTAGCATCATTTTTTTCCTGATATATCTTATTACTGTTAGTTTTTGACAGATAGTCATTGGTTTTTATAAATTCAGTACAAGTACAATTTTCGTTAGACGTTTGCCAAATAGCAGGAGGTTCGACTGTGTAAGTTTTCTTTGTCATTTTGAAAAGTTCATTTAAAACAACCGAAATGAAATAAGATTCTCTAACATTATCATTTTATATACATAGCTGGAGGATATTATCTTTAAATATTCAATCATCTGTGATGCGTACTTTAAATATAGTTAGCAACAAAAGAGAACAACTGCCCTAAATATACAGTAGGAGCATGCATTAAATACTCTTCGAACAAATTGCGTATTTTAATATGTTAATTACTTAGAATAATATTTCCAAACACGTTTATGATAATGTCACAAAACATATCAGTAAACAGTCGCATTAGAAAAGCGTTACATCTTTGTCAAAGTCTATATGTTTGATTAAATTAATAATACGGGGTATGTGTAATTGATAGTATTGTCTATGAAAGTTATTTTGTAAAGGTTAGAACAGGGAAAGAGTATAATATGTGAATATTTATACAATTTTTCTGCTCTTCTCAGAATATTCAATTAATGAAACATAGGACGCTTCTCTTTTCCTTTCATGTTTATCATTTTATGAAGATAATTGGGTATCCGAAGTCTTAAGAAAGCTGATTCCCCTGTCATCATGGGATTCAGTTAGACTTGTAAAGAGACCTTATTTATATTATACAGACACTGTATTATTTAAAGTTTTATATTAAAATTTTAATTAAATATTCTATATTCAATGATAGAAGGTATTATTTTCAATTATATAAATACTAAATGAACTCATTAATAATTCTCAAATTTCGAAATAATTGGCTTAACCGCCGTTTTAGAGGTTAAATTTGATGAGGCTACTTGTTCCTCATAATGTCATTTATTTGCATTTAGAATATGGAAGGGGCAACCCGGTAGATGTCACTGCAAAGACATATCCTAAAAAAACCGCCGGAAACGGAAACATGCATATCTAATTGTTTATCGCGCCAGCCCCAACTGTAAAAAAACGGTGAACAATCTCACTTACATGCCGATCACTCTATGAGGAACGAGATCGATAAAGTAGGTAGCTTAATGGCAAATATGAAAGAAATTAGTGAGAGTGAAAATGATCAGTCTAAAAGAAAAACAGTTAGAAAAGCAAGAACTAGGGGTGGTGGAGTTATGGCCACCAGATCAAGAACAAATGCCTTAAAAAGAAATCAAAAAGAAGATATTTGTGAAAATGGTACCGAAGAGAAGGTTGTTCAATCAGTTTTTATATGCGAAATATGCGATCTTAAGTTTGAATGCAAAGAGAGTCTTTTAGCTCATAAACGAAGGAATCATCTCTCTAGTGGTACAACATCTTCAACACCTCCTGAGAGAATGTCGACTGAAGAGCGAAGGAGAAAGTTATCGAAATTCACTGACGCTCAGATAATTTCGAAACTAGTAGAAAAAGGTGCCATCTTCCAATGCATTTGTGGAATGATATTTAAGGAACAAACCTTGTACTTCCTGCATCGAGGTTGCCATAATTCCGAGGATCCCAAAAAATGCTCTTTTTGCGATTTCAAGGCGCAGGATTGGTACGATTTTACAACGCATTTTTTCATTCACAAGAAGAAGAACGACGGAGGAGTTTTTAATGATATTAGTCAGACTTACTCGCATTTTTTACCGGTATCTCAAACCGTTCAATGGTCGGATAATACACAGGACTTACCGCATTTTTCCAGTATCCTACCACCGATTGCTACCATATCAAGGGCAGCACCAAGTCATCAGGACGTCGTTCCGAATTCAACGCATGCGCAGTAGAGGAAGAACTTATTGTTGTTGTTCTACTCGTTGTTTTATTTTTTTTTCTATATGGTTAATTATGAAGAAATGGGTCCAAGAAATATTTTTTATAAAAAAAAAATTATAAAATTAGCTTACAGTTATTAAATTCTATACGAGAATTTCATTAAAATCTTCAATGAAAACAAAGAAAGTACTCATGTAAACTTAACTATATTTTTGTCGCACTCACCTTCCCATACTTTCTAATCCCAATAGAAATGAAAAAAGAAACAACAAATGACAAATCTCTTTAAGGCCAAAGTCATGTTATTTTTTTTACTATATTTTCGTCCGTATCAAATCCACTAGTTACCATTTACAACACTTATCCTAATACAATAATATTCTTAATGTAACGGATTACGCTAAATATAAGGATTATTGTGAAGTGAAATAATATGTATAATTACTTCATTACTTAGGTGGCGTTACCTCTTTTGTTCTAATGCATTTACAGATAAAATGTTATGAAATAATCAACATTTGATAACGCCTCCAGACATTTCCTTTGCCATTAGCATTCTGCCGTTTTACTTATTTAAGCTCTTTTTTCTTTTTACTAAAAACTATTGGTTAGCTCTATTCCATTGTTCTCTCCAGACCCTCAATTCTTTTATTACCTTTTCATCGAAATGTTTTCGGCCTAATAAAAAACATTTCCATTTAGACAGATCTGACTCCTTTTTTTTTACAAGCTGGCGCCTAAATAACTTCGACCGTCTGTGATATTCTATAATCGGTCACTTAATCTTTTCTTTAAATGAAAAGGCAATGTTAAAATGGGAATTATATAGTTTGAATACAAATATTATCAAGTACTAAAATAATTGTACAGTAAGCCTATGGCGACGGCTTATTTGATTCCTTTTTATTAAGCATTAAGCCGTTGGATTTTGTACAGTTTTCAGGGGTAATTAATCAAGTTAATGTTTGAAAATGCTGAAAGGACCCTATTATATTATTTGAGTTGGTAAATATAAAAGGAACAGTTTGGAAATGCTCAAGATATTCTCGCTAGATGTCGACACTACAGTCTCCTCTGGTGGCTTCTAACCGGCTAACTTCCGGTCTAAAAATGGCGTACTGAAATCATTTTCTACGATATTTTCTACGTTTTTATTTTTCTACCACGTCTCTTAAGAGAAGGATCTCTGGAAGTTTTGTAGCTGCAAGTCTACAGTTGTTAATCGATCTGCTAACAAAAGCCTGATAATTTAGGATATGCAAATTAGAATGAGAGCAGAAGCATAGATAATATATTCCAATGATGGATACGAACGACGTCTTATTCCACGACATGTACGACGTTTGCGAGATGATTGGAAAGTAAGTTTATCAATCAAAAATTACTTTTGTCTGAGATTATATTTTGTCTTTTCGGTGAATTTAATGTTAAATATCGAAAATTAAGCGGATCGAATAGTTCGATCGCAACCCTTCGAAATATATGTTACTATGTTCTGTTATTAAAGCTTATCTGTCTCTCTATATAAATATGTATATAGCTTCATCAAATGCTTTAGACATCGCATTTAAAAAGGTCGGGGAATAGAAGAGACGGTAAATTTGTATAAGCCAGAGATGAATAGTCTTAATTTTTTTGTCTCCTATGTAAAAATCATCAATCCAGAGGAAGTTGAAATTCCATTTTCAATGGATTGTATGCTACAGCAATAAATCTTTCACCGGTAAACATGTGTTATTTCAGAAACGTAATCTAGCCTGCAAAAGTGTCTAGTTTGAATTAAAAATTTGTTGCTATTTTGCGGTTGGATTAATATTTGTCAGATTAATTTTTTAGAAAGGGATAATCACTTTTAATTATAAAAATTCAAAGGAAAATTACACTATTACCTAAATTTTTAACAGATTTTCCTTATAAAAGAGAAATTATTCATTACAAGTAAATATAAACGAATCTATAACTGTTCCATTGATATATTTGAAATCTTAGGCCTCTTTTGAAATGTTCAGACTTGGGAAATTACTTGAACCTGCAAATGAACATGTTATGGGCATTGTTCGATCGACCGCAATGTTGACTAATGATTTTCTGCGCATACTATTTCCTTTCAACTAACATATTGGTGAAAATAGAATATTCTTTGTCTGAACTTTCCCAATCACTTTTTGGTTATTGGCTGATAAAAGATTTATGTGTTTAACACATTCGTAATCTCGCTTAAAAACTATTAGAATAAACTTGAAGCACAATGTACTGAAGGAACCAAAAAGCCTTGAAAAAAAAAAATCAGCGATTAAAACAATTCTGATCAAGTACTTGTTGACGTCATAGAAATGAGAACAAAAAACATGCCATGTTTCTCTGAATTGGGAATGGCTTTTTTGGTAGTAATGAATATTCTGATAGTATTAAGCATTTTATGCAATGTAGGAGGGTTAAGAGGTAGAGTTCATTGATAGAGTGTCCTCCCAGAATATTTGACAAGTGGTTGCTTGTATCGTCCATTCTGAACAATCAATATTTCCCCCAATTTACTATTAATTAGAACAGTTTTTCGTTTAATTAAGAGAATAAAAAGTGCTGAAAAGCTTTTAGCTGATATAAATAGACAGTCATTTTTATAACTGAACTTGAAGAGTACCGGAAGAACTGTTTCTTAATAACGCACTTTACGAACTGAATTACGTGGTGCCTTTAACGAAGCTCATATTTTCTCCTCTATAAAGTTCATTATAGTAAGAGAAAATAGGAGCACAAAGAAGAATGTACAAAATAAATAGAATTTCTTTAAAGATAGTATCTATAGTTTGTAAACAAAAGAAGTTGAGAAATTATACGATTCGAATCATAGAAAAAAATATTTAGGTGCTTATCAGAATATTTTTGATAACAAAACATGAAACAAACGTAACCATAAGTAAATAAGAATAACGACAGGGCGCAGTAGTAAAGAACGCGAATAAACATTTTTTAAGAATCAAAAGCGGTTTCGTCGCTTTTAAGCCAAATATCCATAGTTTTTTTTATATAAGAAGAAAAGCATGATACGCTTTAAAAGAAATAATTTATCCACTTGAAAATTATATTATGTTTTTGTGTATTTATTTATTTTTTGATTAATTATTTTTTTTTTTTGCAGAGGTCCCTTTTCCGTCGTCCGCCGTTGTGTACATAAGCAAAATCAACAACAATTTGCTGTCAAAATTGTTGACGTCGCGAAATTCACAGCATCACCCGGCTTGTCGACAGAAGATTTGAAAAGGGAGGCGTCAATATGTCATATGCTTAAGCATCCACATATTGTTGAGTTATTTGAAACGTACAGTTCTGATGGCTTACTCTATATGGTTTTCGAGTATGTTGATGGAGCTGATTTATGCTTTGAAATTGTCAAACGAGCCGGTGCTGGCTATGTTTATAGCGAAAGTGTGGCCAGCCATTACCTGAAACAAATATTGGAAGCCGTGAGATATTGCCATAGTAAGTTTATTATCTTGTCTATTCTCTTAAACATCTCATTAATGAAGATATAGCAAATAAATACTATTGGGTTAGTGCTAAAGGTCAGATTCTAAAAAAATGCAAATAAAAATTATTCAGCTTTAGTAAATAAAAGTACAGATATTTAAGCAGCATATAAAGAATAAAGAGATAAAAATGAAATTTATTTAAAAATTCAATTTATATCCGTTTAATAACGATTTTTTTTTAAAAATTACCTTATAGTTATTAGTTTCCCGTACTAATATAAGCCATTCGGATTTTACTTATTTTGAGACAAATTTAATATAATGTACTAAAAATATGCAATATTTAAGGAATGATGGCATGTTTTTACTTTATAACTTTGTATGAAGGACAGACTGAAATTCTAGATTACGGCAGATATTCATCGAAATTCTTTAGACAGTATACCCTGAGTAGAATATGCAAATGATTATAGTTAATAAACGAGCTTCGGTTATTCAAAATTTTAGTTTGTATTAAAGAACATAAAAAATGTATAATTTATAAACTGGGCCTTTCACCCACCGCCTGTCGCTCTTCAATCGAGTAGCTACTTCATATTAACTATGTGGAGAGAATTCGATAAGTGACGACTTTTCCAGGGGAATTGAAATCAATTGCATATCTGTGGAGCGTAAAGGAAAATAAGACAAGCACTTAGGCCTAAAATTGAAGAAAGCTTAACGGGACGTATGGGAAAAAGATGGCTACTAAATAGCTTCCACCTGTGAAATTGGTCTTTTCTTAGACAAAAGGCGATATTGCAATAGTCAGAAGAACGTATAATACAATTAATGCTAGAGCTAGTTTAATATGGCAAACAATTGGTTATTTTTTAAATAGGGTTTTTCCATAAGCGTTTATTCGCTGTATGACAAACGCTTTTTATGTTGTCGATAAAGTATTGTAAGTTGTGTAACTTGATTGAAAGCCTCGTTCAATCTCCGCTCCAATTTCGGATAATCCAACACTCTTTCAGACTATTTTTTTTTTATAAAGGGAAGAGTTTATTGGTAGTTCATAAAAAAACTATTTTCATTCCCAAAATAAAGCGCTCTTATGGCTAAAATGTTTCAGCCTTTTACTGGTACAAATTTTTGCTACCTTTGCATGTTTCACATTTGTTTTTATCTCAATTCCTTTACCTATGTAAGATTTTAGGAAACAACTGATTTAAGAAATGCTATTGAGATGAAAATGTATTCATTATCTGTTCTCCTACTCATTTTCACAAGGGATGTGATTATTTTACAACATAAAAAAAGATAAAGGAAAAAAGGAAAAAGAAAATTTTTTAGCTGTAATCGTATTTTGCAGGCAACTGGGATTCTCTGATGAATTAATACAGAGTACATCCAGGCGAAAAGCTTGCTAATTAGAACGTCAACGTCAGATTCTTAATTTACGCGTGACTATAATTTGTAATTTTTATTGTATATACCTGAAGAGATTAGAGAGAAATGACCAACACTCATTACGATATTGATTGAGCCGGAGACGATTTAGTTGAGAAAATAATCAGAATGGAGAGTATATACTCCCCGCTCCGCACCACTAATGACTACGAAACACTGAAACCAATTAGATTGTTACATTGGATAATGAAATAAATTAAGTTTGATATAAAACCAAGTGAGAGAAAGATGTCAATAAATCGTCTGCTTATCTTAACGACGCTTACTCCGAGGAGGAGCTAATTATAAACTGACAAAATCAGTAGCGAGAATCCTTTTCAGTGCCAATTTAATCAACCAAATAGTCTAGGTAGTACGTGGATTTTAGGTGTAAATTAAGCAAGATGAATGTTTTATATTCTTTATTTTTTTCCTCTCTCACTCTCCCACTCCTTTTTCTTTTATTTCTCACTCTCTCACCATTTCCATTTTCTTGCTCAAATACAGTTTTTTTCTATTGCTACAAATTACATAGTATTAAAAAAGAGAGGAGATTGATAATTCTTCATAGATTTTTTAAAAGGTCAATGAACTGTTTAAGAATTTAATGCCAATTTATTACACCGCTGGTCCATTTAATCGAATGTCTAATGAAACTCTCTGAAGTGTTAGAATTCAGAATATTAGAACAGATAGTTATATAGGTTAGTCGTTTGCTCTCTCTCCTCCCTCCCTCCTCTCAATCAACTCAATTTTTTCTTTTTCCAAAATTCCCCGTCACTCTCATATTTTTTTCGTTTAAATCGTTCCTATTTAGAAAAATTTCCCATACTGACGTCCTTTTAACATCTACTAAGCGGTTACTGCAAGAGTTTGTAGTCTAGTAACGAGCTTAATCCCGGAAGGCTTATTCAATTTTCGCCTCTCTTTTCACGTCGATATATCAAAAACGGATGCAATTTTTGCCGGTAAATATTTACTGGTAGACGTAATAGAAAATATTTACATTTTCTCTTTTTTATGTGTATATATATATATATATACTATGTATATAAAATTCTGCATTCGAGTAAAATCTGGATATTTGTTTTTTTTAATTACGAATTAATGATAAGAATCATTGAAACGTTTGGATTCATATTTTACTTAAGTATATTAGGGCGAAGAAGGCGAATTCTATGGAGGATTTTATTCTGATATCCCTCGTCTTTAGGATCTTTTTTTTCCAATTTAGATTATCAGAAGAATGAAAATGGTCGTTATATATCTATTTACAAAAGAAAAATAGAGATATTCATAGTCTTTCACCGTCAAATTGCTCTTATTCTAAATGGAAATTGTATAAAAGGGGATTGTACTTCGATAGCGCTATCTGTAAGACGTTTGACAATTGCGTTTGATGTAGGACGACAGATTTTTAGAGTTTCGCCTATACTAATGGCCCAACTAACAACTGAGATATTTATAACTGTCAACAGTTATTTCTTCCTTCCTGCCTTATTAATGTTATTGGCTTAATTCATTCTAAGTGATGTTTTAGAGAATTAAGGTAATTGCCTCGACGGTTAGTGTATAAATAGTGCGCACTGTGTAACCTAAATATTATTTAAACTAGGCAAAGACGGGGTGAAATTTTAGCGGATATCTGCAAACTCTACTGCAATAAAATAACTCATAGAAGTAAAATAAACATACACTTTAGCCATGTAGAGGAAGGGTGAAACCATCAATTCACATTTTATAATATAATTTACCTACCTGCAGCTATGAATTTATTATTATTTGTATTTTTATTCAATTTATTTTTCTAACTGTCTTTTTCGCTACCCTATGTGAACTTAAAAAAATACCAAATTGTCAATAATCATACCTCTTAATAGCTTAACAAGAGAAAAGGTTTTCGTGTTAGCTTTGACACATATTATTTATATATCTCTTCCTTTATTTAGCATATATTACATTTCTTTTCTTTTTGTCTTTTACAGCTAACGGCGTTATTCATCGCGATATTAAACCCCACTGCGTCCTATTAGCGAATAAGGAGAATAGCGCCCCGATAAAATTGGGAGGCTTTGGTGTTGCCGTACATTTACTTAATAACTCGTCCATTCTTGGAGGAGGTAAATAGACTTTTTTTTATTTCATTTCCTCATCCCACTTCAACCCACAGCACATAATTCCTATTTTCTCTCACTCTTTTTTTTTAAACGAGTCCTATAAACGCAATGCGATGATAGACAAACGTCTCTCTAGATTCAAATAGATATTATGTGTTGTAAGAAAAAAAAAACCAGGAGTTATTTTTTCAGAACGCTTCATCTGTGGATCCGAGAACCTTTATAGAACGGATGGTTTCGGTGAGCCGAAGCTTTTCTATTGGGATTTTCTTTTTTCCTTATCCAATTTGTGGTCTCTAGCTTAACTCTTTTTTCTTTTGATATGCATAGCTTTTTGGCTTTTTTATGCTGTATTTATATAAAAGCTCCATATGTACCATATATATATATATAGATATATATATAGATATATATGTATATAAATATATAGGCTGTATGCTTCACAATAAGCAATATATCAACCACAGTTGCATTTGATTTTATTCTGGATTTTTAACTAATTGCTTACAAACAGTTGTGAAAAAAGAGAGATAATTTAAAATCTGTAATCGTAAGAAAATAATAGTTATTTCTTTTAAGGCTACTAGAAAATATCTATTAAATTGAGAAAAGAGAAATTCCATGGGGGTCTAGAAGCATTTTCTCGAAGCCTTTCGTTCCGGTTTCGAAGACTTTTTATCTTACTCTTTCTATAGAACGGGCTAGGTTTTATCTTCTTGCCCGGAGGAAATTTCTTTGCCCGTTAGGGTAGGATAGAACATAAAAAACACCTACTTGGGTTTTTGTGAGAGAACCTAAAAAAAAGACCTGTATGTTGGTTTCAGATAATTCATATAAATAATTTATTGGTATTTGTCATAAGGGGAAAGAGAAGTAGAATTCTTTTGCAGAATAAAAGTGTAACAAATGCAATAAAGGATATTAGAATAAAAAATGAAAAATCTTTCATAAAATAAAATCCACAAGCCTTAATCGCTTTAACCTTATTCCTTACGCACGCGGTTGATTTAACTTCTCGCTCGACTAATCGACAGAAAGATTGTATTAAGTTTCTCTAACTCTTTCTTTTTTCTCCTTCTCTTACAACCAACTAGGTCGGATCGGAACACCACACTTTATGGCACCGGAAGTAGTTAGAAGAGAAGGGTATGGTAAAGCGGTTGATATGTGGGGAGTTGGTGTAATGATGTATATAATGTTATCTGGCACGTTACCCTTTTACGGTACGAAAGAGCGGCTGTTTGAGATGATAACTGAAGGCGACTATTCTTTGACGGGAAAACAATGGCAACTGATATCTGAGGACGCCAAAGATTTATTACATAGGTTACTGGAGCCTGATCAGAATCAGAGGATCACAATCGAGGATGCCCTACGTCATCCTTGGATCAAGGTAATTTTCTTCGCATCATTTGTTAGATCTTTTACTCAACTGTAAATGACACGGTGGATATACAAAAGTCTTCAATCGTATTGCTCCTATGCTTAAAGAACAATTCTAGAGGGGATTCTAAATGTTTATCTTGAACAATATCTCGTTCTTTACTCATAGCGAGGAAGGCGGGCGGGCGGGAGTAGAATGATTACATATAACTTTTATAATGCAATATTTCTTTTACCCAATCGAAAATTTATTTGTTTTACTCAGTTTAAAGTTGGAGAAATTGAATTACACTCCTAATTCATTTAGAGATTTTACAACTATCGAATTTGATTTGTCTCTATACCAACGATGCATAGAATCATTTCTTCGCATCCCCAGGGATTTTTAGGCGTTACTTAAGCTAAGGTTAAAATCGGTTTTCTCGCTTCTTCGCACTACAAGAATATTTTACTGTATCATCGTCTCCTGTTTAAGAAATTTAAACTTTGGTAAAAGTACCGATTTTCTCGTATATTTCACTCTTCTAGATATATTTATCTTTAGGCAGAAAATAAACAAGTGCAAGTACTAAGAGAACTTAAAAAAAGTTTCGTTACATATTACCAACTAAAAGAATTCTTTCTTTCTACGGTCGAACGCATCACGGGTCTAGGATAGTGATGATTAATATGTTAGAGCAAGCGTTGCAAAAAAGAGAAAGCCCACTAGATTGTTATTTTTTCGCTTTGGTTAGTTTATTTTGCCCCTAAGTTGTTAAAAAAAAACAATTTGTACAGTAGAAGAGGACATCTCTTTTTAAAGAACCATTAATAATTTATATAGAGAGTTTTTGTTACTTTAATCCGGATAAATATAGTATGTAAGACAGCTTTTCCTTCTAATTGACAATGAAAATAGTTATATTAGGTAGAAAAACTTTGAATATTGCAACATAATCCGATAACTAAAGAAGAGTAATGTCATAAACAATCCGATAATGTATGAATAGAAAATATAAATAGTATAAATAGAAGTTATAAACTACGTGTATTAAAATGTATTAAAATTAAGACGTGTGTTCAAAAAGTATTAAGAAACAGCCATTAATAAATAACAAGTATTTGTAGATGTTTCTCTACTTATACGATGAACGCAACGATATTTCTATCTTAAAAAAGGCAATTACTGACTGCTTTGCTTTCTACAGCATTTAATTTAATTGAACGGTGTATTACAGTAAGAAACAGTCTGCGTAGAATAGCCTTTTCCCTTGTTTTTTAAAACAACATGTGTATATTGAAATTAATGATTGTTAGAAAATAAATAAATAATATTTAAGTAATATATAGAGTAGATAAACAATGAAATAACTCGTCCATTCTCATATATATATTTATAAATATATCTATAGTGCTATAAAGGAAAAGTAAAGTATTACACTGTTATATACAGTAAAACGTATAAATATAAGAATTGTAAGTAAAGACTTGGAGAGCTATTTAAAGCATTTTGGAAGCCTTAATAATTCTACACAGTATATCGATTTCGCGTCGTATTCCTTTCTGGATGTTTACTTTCTCTGTTAATGTTCTCTCAATGTAAGATAATATTTTATATTCAAATGGGTGATTAATTCGAAGCCATTAAAATATATCTATTAAATTGACTTTAAAATTTACAAAATGTAGATATTTCTAATATGAATTAGTAAAAAGAATGGAAAGCGATTTAATAGGAGTGTGAAAAGTTTATAAAGAGCTTAGTTCGGGCTTTCTACGCCCTTTTTCCTTTTCTCATTTATTCTTTTTATCTACTTATATCTACTAGTGATCTGAGAACGCTAAAGCTCTTAAACCTCTCCTCAACTTAAAAGAACTGCTAAGAATAAGTTAATTTAACCACGACAATTTCTTCGGAAGGGATAAAAATCCACAAAATATTTTACTAAAACGAAGAAAAGGCCATTCGCTAGGAGTTTATACATTTATCATTACATATAAGCTTTTCATTCTCTAGTCAACTAAGGAACTTTTCATTGAGAAATAAAGAGAACATGGATTTACCATTACCTGCGTACAAATCATTTCATCAAAACGCATTACATTATACCTCATATATTGTATATAACTGTAAGGTATTAAACTAGTTCAATACTTATTATTTGAAAAATCAGTACCCAAAAATTTATGATATATGGAAAAGAAGAGAACAACAACAAATCTTATTTATTTATCCTATCAACTTCTTTGATTATTATAATAAAAATCTCAACCGAGATATTTAGTCTTAAAAAATCTTCGCGCAGGTGTATATACAAAAAATGAAGGGAAACAAGGTTGTATAGACTATTTATACTCTGTTGGTCATCAAAGGCTACATATGACTTGACCCGGATATCATTAATGTTATACCGATAGTTCGATGTCATTCCTCCTATCCCTAATCTATATTGTTCTCTTATCTTGCAAAAAAAAATCAATAAAAGCAATTTTCTTCGTATGCAATAGAAAAAATTATTCGTTTTTGAAGCCTTATAGCAATTCGTACAATGTTTACTTTGTTATCCACATAACTCTTGGAGCTTTGTTTGATTCAGCGATAATAACGGACTTAAAAGATTTTTCCGCCAATAAGTCATTTTCACTTTCTAACCACTAGATGGCGTATTTTGTTAACAGGATCGATCGAGGGTTTCCAAACTCCACCTGCAGGAAACAGTTGAAGAAATGGGAGCTTTCAATACAAGAAGAAAATTAAAAGGAGCTGTTCTAGCAGCAGTTTCCAGTGCAAAGTGGAAAAAAGAAGGGGAGGAAGAATGTCTCGTAGATTTCCAAGATGATGACGTCACAAGTGCAGGTAAGATAAATTTTCTTGCTAAATTATTCTTCGTGAATGAGGGGGGATGCTGAAAAACTTTTAAGATCTTTCAAATTGTTTTTTTAAACTCGTACGGTAAAGATAAAATCAGTCAGTCTGATAATTCGGAATGTATTTAATTATTAAATCAGCAAAGACCGTGGTAGAGTGATAAAGAAAGTATGAGTAGACAGAGGGAAGAAGGAAAGAGAAAGCAGCCTTTTCATCTATAATTGACTAACAATATATAGCTTTGTGTTTATTTCCCTTTTGGTTAACTCAATTGCAGCTTTTGTAATGTGCAATAATCAAGCACAACTATCTACTGCACTCATAATGTATAATATCATGTAATTGCTCTCTACGAAATTACTCAGATGTTTTAGATCAGTTAAGTGAATGAAATGAAAAAGAAAACACAGGCAAAAGAACCGAAAATCATAATATGCTCCCCCTGATATTTACCCTAGAGTTAAGTCTTTGATGATAAGAATGTTACCAAAATGTCAAAAGTATTTCTTTGAACATTTCCTTCTCATGGAAAATATTTTCAGATTAAACTTTACAAATGGATACACTATGTACCTTAAAAATTAACATTTATATACGTCACATATATAAATCTAGACTATACATTAAATGCCTAAACAGTAATATACTTGTAATTTACAATATAAAAAGCATGTACAATGTCTTCTCTCTTTACACAGCCGTAAGCTTGATTTTGGATAGTTTGGAAGAAATTCAATGCTTGACAGAAGACGATGAGAGACACGCTCATTTTGTTGATTCGGTTCTTCAAGATCGGAAATTGTACGCCTTATTGCAGGTTTGTACTATAGAGTTTAATATGATCTAATGTTCTCGGCTTCCTCTCTGTTTAAAGAGAAATCTTATTTGAAAACAAACAATCTAATGAGTAGGTTTTGAAATCGTTTAAATCTGTAGAAGCTATGTAATTTGTTTTCTTTCGTGCCTTGGTGAGGTTGCTATAACCTTTCTAACTCCTTTCCAAGAATTAGAAGAGTTACTTACTGATGGAATGTTAAACGTTAAGGGTATTTTTATACATAATTATCAAAGATGGTTATAGTAGCTTGAATAGTAAGATATGGAATTGCGTGCATTTTCTAACGAAATATATGCAGATTACGGGTGATGTACTCCTATAGTGAAACACCGAGGGAGTTCAGACCGAAACAGACAAGATTTTTGTCACGAATTAGGCGTAGGGAAGGGCGTATGAACTTTCCATCAATTTAATATTCTATTTGAATTAGTTATATAGCATAAAATTAGCACCAAATATGATGAAAACGATCATAAAAATTTTTATGCTAAAAACTAAAAGTAATAAAGTTTGTTTACGTTTTCTTGACGTTCTCCTTGCTGGACTATCATTGATTTCTGAAGACTAGGTGGAAAATATTTTTTTGGCATCTGATGTGTTCGAAAGTATAAAGTTCTACAAATTGGGTAACCTTTAGGTAGAAAATATACCAAATATGCCCCAGTAGGGTATTTTGAAAGGAAAAGATATCTTTTTATATCTGATTGAACAGCTTTAAAACTCTCCTAGTAACATTAGTAAACTAACAACTTGCTACAATTAATCTTTTGTCTTTAAAATCGAAGTAAGAGTAATATCATATTTCTAACGTCCAATATGAACTTTATCCATTCTGTATACCTTGGTGAGCGGACAACGTCAGATCCAACTTCAAGAATAGGGTCATGTCATATTGCTTCTTGTTATTTCAAAATATTCGCATAGGACAACCTCTACGACCTGTCCTGACGAATTACCAAAACGCATGCGTGATTTCGTTCTATGGCGATCCCAGTTAAATTGGCCTACGTCAATTTATCATTTACAGAAGTAAAACAAAAAAGGGAACGCTGGGGCTTTTTCCTCACCGCTAGGCGTCGGATTAACGCCGCACTCGGTCTAAAACTACCGTCTTTTCCCGTTGGCGATTTCTCCTATCAATTTAAATAGTGTCTGAAAACTGATTTCACCACCTTTTTTCCGCGTTCTATCGTTTGCTCTCACACTCTGTCCGAAAAGCGCGCAGCCTCCAGCTTATGCATGGACTTAACGCAGAACGTGCAGCCAGTAAAAAATTCGTCGTCTTATCGTCAACTAATGCAGCTTTAGCCTCTTTCATCAGTCTAATCTTGAAAAGAAGAGAGGTGAGAAAAATGTTTATATTTATGAATCGATTAAGATTTTCAATCATTTTTTCTATTTCTCTTCTTTTCCTGCTTCTTTATTCGATCGGAAAAAGGCTGTAATTGATCCGCGGATGTTTTTCTTTTACCCAGTTTTTCCGAGAGGGAGTAGAGAAGGTCGATATATTTTCGCAGCTGCGAATTATAGCCGACAGGTCGGCGGGGGTTAAGCTTTGTAGGCGTCATTGGCATAGAAGTAGGAGGGAATCGGCCGTCGAAGAGAAATTTAGGTTTTTTTATGAGCGTATGCAAAAGTTTAGATCAATTACACGGTTTTTAAAAAAAGAAAATAAAGAAACTCTATTCTTCCTTTATTTTACTTCATTGTCTACTCGTAATCTGTCGTAAGTAATGGGAGAAGAAGGGCAAGTTTTTGTTGTGTCTTTAATTTAAAACTCCCCCGACTGACTATTTTTCTTGATATGTTTTAAGCAGCAACTAGCAACGAACTATTTCTGCAAAATATTCAGTTTTGGGCCTACTGAAAAAAATCTTGATTTTTTCTTCAAGTAGTTGTCAATGATTTTCGATTAGGATAAACCAATGTTGATTCCTATCCAATAGCTTGTTTACTCAAGCAATAAAAGGGCCTCGTAGATTGATTAAAAATTACATTTGGGTAGAAGAATTTGCTTTTGTCTAATTAATTAGAATTTAATATTTTACTAATGCTTTAAATATTATAATTTAAGGAATCCAATAGCTAAACCGACAGCCTCTCTAGAGACGCTTTTCGTCTGTATAAGACAGCCAATTGCCCTTAAATCTTGTTTTTTGAATAATTATTCTTGAAGAGGGACATGAGAATCACCAGTGACCTAATCTTTATTTTTATATTAAAGATAAATGAAAAATCCTTAACTTGAGTTTCTCCATTGAAAAGACTTCCATGCGGTAAGATGATTATATATCTTAGGTTCCATTAACTCTTTTCATTACCGATGTTCTTCAATATAGTTTCCTTTCAAAAAGAAAAATAAAATTAAAAATATAACTTAGCTAGAAGTATTCATTAAAGTATGAAGAAACGTTTTTCAGAAAATTCACGCAAGATGGCGATCCAAGTAGTATTTGAATATAAGTATTTTGTTAGCTTATTAATATTTGTAAGAGACATGTGAGAAAATGATCTAAATTACGTTTTGCTAAGAAAACAATAGTAAGAGAGTTGACTAGCAATTTGAAAAAGATGTCTATTTCATGCTATTAAGAACATATCATCTTTAATTATACTATTAGTTTATATTATTATTCTAGAAACTATTTACAAATCGTTTTTAAGATTTATTATGCTGAGCATAATTTCTTTGGAATAAACACAATAATCTAATTTAGTATCTGTGCAGAAGACTTTGTATAAAATTTAATTCAATTTTGGGACTTATGTCTTTATTACGAATTAGCGACTGGCTTAGCCTCTTCATGGAGAGCTGAAAGAAACGGTAGATAGTGTTGCAGATGGAAAAAAATATTTGGGAAAATAATAAACCACATGCGTATAGAGCTTCGATTTCGGTGAAGGTTTTATCAGTTTTATATTCCAATCTATAGTGGAAACCTTCAGAGATGCTTATTAATTTATAGGGGAAGGGAGCGAAAATTTCTTATTAGAACAATACTCAGAGCGATATGAAGAGTTGAACGTTAGTTATTCCTCTCTTTTGAGAATGAAAAACGGGATAGAATAACTGCTAATCGAAGCTTCACTATCTATTTGTTATAGTCTAGTAGAATAGTTTGGTCAACCGTCCACACTCGACTTATTTGATAAATTATACAGTATGAAAATTGGATAAAAAAAAAATTATTCTTTAGAACTTATACGGGGAGATGAAGTAAGCGTTGAAAATGTGACCTCTGGTCCTCCAATCTAATTTGGCCCAACCAATTATAATAACCTGAGAAATGGGACATCATAACGACCCCTCCCTAAGTATTTTATACTCAATCTTTATCCTCATAGCTAGGTGGCGTTCTGTCAGTTACGAAAATTGTATTTTAGACGGCGAAAAATTTGTAAATAGTATGTAGTGCGTCGTCGGAAAGGTCGAATGAGCAGCAATTTTCAATTATCAAATGGCTTTGATAAGACAAGGAGCGATAGGACAAGAGAGTTCGGAAACGAATTCAACGCCTCTTCTACTAGCAGTAAAACTGGCGAAATTGCGTCACTTGTACAAAGAATCGCCTGTAGGACGCAAAATTAACGTCAATTCGGACCCTTATGATGTACACTCTTACGATTGTTGGGTTTGTTATCACTCTTATGTTTTTTTTATCTCCAAAGTTCTGAATTTTATATATTGATAAATAATCTTGGTAGAAGAAGAACTTATCCATCGGTTTCTATTTCTTTCCTATTTTTTTTATGTACAGCTGTTTTGATATGTTTTATAGAGAGGAATGTGGTTTTCGCACAGTCGATAATTTTCTAAAGCAAAAGGGAAGTGAAGATGTAGAAATTACTAGCTTGATATAATAATCTTACGCTAGTAAATAGATACATGATAATTTAATAAATTTTAATAAACTTCCTTTTGCTTATTTATTTAGTTTTTCTGTCATTCTGCCCTTGCCAAATTATAACTGAATGGCGAGTTAGGTTTCCCTTTAACTCTCACAATAGCATAACTTTGTTCTACTGGAAGTAAACGATGTACAACGATGTTCTGTAAATTATACTAATTTTTAGTATTATTGTTAACGAGATTGGGTAAATATTATAACATGAAGACCATTTAGCTAAGGTATACTACTTTTACATATTTACTTGGCACTTCTATTTGAAAAAGATGTCACATTTCAGAGGTTTCTCACTCTTTCAATGTTTCTGTACAAACAGACTACGAAGTTTTATAAATTCTCCCTGTATTTTCTGTTTTTTCAGCTTCTTTTTGTTTTTAAATTTATCGAGTTGACACTTTTAATCGTTAGATATAATTTGTAATAACTCTATCATAAAAACTTTGAAACATTTTGACAAGTGACAAGGCTTTTTGTTTTACGTCTTTTTTTTTGCTTTTGTTGGAAAAACGCTTTTTCTCTATTGTTAGTTTGTTTTTCAACAAATCTGTTCAACAAACTAACAAAGGTAAGATTCGTGTGAGTCTTATGGTGGCAAAATATGTTACTTTCTTTCGTATTCCAATCAACACGTGTCGGACATCTTATTTATTCGCTTGGTTTTAGTTTTTAGAATTATTGACTGAAGCCTCTGGAGAAAGGGTATTAAAGGTAGAAATTTACCCGTTTATCTTTCTCTAAGGTGGCGTTTAGGATGAAACGTTAGGAATTATTAATTATTATTATAGTTACTACTATTCTTATAGTAAAATTGAATTATACTTTTCAGGACTTTTGCGTTATTATTTACGTGAATAAATCGTAATTTAGACGTCTAATCTTACAAGTGTAAACGCTATTATACTTTAAGAGTAGAAAGAAAATGAATTCAGAACCCCATTAAATTAAATAGAATATTTTTAATTCGTTACCCCATTTCTCTCCATATACGCTTTAAATCGAAAAAAAACTTTCTTCTCTGTTTTTATACACTTTAACTGGTGATGTATCATCATTTAACGCGACGGCGTTTTCTTTTTTTTACTTCCTCCACACAGCTGTAAATATATCGAATTGCTTTTTTTTCCTTTTTTCATTCGTTTCTATATCTTATCCAATTTCCAAGGTATATTGGTTAAGCATAAAGGTTATAAAATTGGAATCGATTATAAAAAAAGTAATATCTAATAAACTATCTTAAAATTAAGCAATAAAAAAAATGAGAGAAAAAATAATAATCGTCGAGGGGGAAATGAAAAGAGAATGGATGTTCGTCCAACTATATACAACCTAGTCACGGTTAACTCAACGCCTTTTTT